TTACGTAGCTCAAAGGTGATTGCAGTCATCTTAAACAAATCCAATTAAAAATGTTTTGGTGTGGATCATTAAGTAGCTGTTTTATAAACCTTTACACTGGGAGGGGTGGCGCAGAGGTTAGAGAAGGTGGATCTGTGATTGGAAGGTCGCCAGTTCAACTCCCCGTACCGACAACATCCAAATGTGGGTGGGAAATGTGAAACACCCACACCTGCCTCCACCCATATTTGCCCCACTCTGGGCCCCTGAGCAAGGCCCTTAACCCCCAAAATCTGCTCCCCCGAGCGCCCTAGATGGCAGCTCTCTGCTCCACACAGAGGGCTGTGGTAGCTCAGTGTGGTTGCGTCAGGAAGGGCATCTGGTGTAGAAACAATTGCCAAGTCTTCGTGTGACAGTTCGCTGTGGCGACCCCTGAAGAAGGGAGCAGCCGAAAGAAAAAAAATATAATTAAATAATAAAAACATTAAAAACACTAACATCTATCTATGATATTATCGGCATGGTATTGGTATCAGCCGATATTAGCGATGAAGTTAAATATCGAACATCAGCCATTCCATCTAAATAACACTTATACATAAGGTGCTGTTTTTCTATGACAACCCAGTGACAATGATGCCTGCAGCGCCAGCACGTTACGACATCATGCACGCTGTTGAGTTTAGATTTGTGCAAATTTACAAATTTGCACTGTTCAAGCGTTGTCATTGTGTTAGAGAGAGTAAATGTCAATAATAATAATAAATGACATTAAACATTATCCAAGTTGAAGTGTTACATCATTTGCAGCCTTCTTTTTGGCATCTGTATTGGTAGCAGGCCCAATGGACAAAGGCCATGCAGAATAATCTAGTATTAATCCCACATCAGCGAAAGCTATGTAGTCTCTGTAAGTAGGTCTAGGGGAAAAAATATTGGTATTGGTATCGGTTATAGGCCAAATAAGTTTTAACATATCAGCATATTGGATATTTGCCAAAATTCCAATATTATGCATCCCTACTAACATCAATTTAACTTTGCATAACTATTTACATAGCTACAGTGGCACGGTGCCTCAGTTCGATTAAGTTTCCATTCAGTTTATTTATATAGCGCCAAGTCACAACAGAAGTCATGTCAGGGAACTGAACAGAAACATTCACATACATTAAAATCCAATTAGTAAATGTTAAAGGCAACAGTGGAAAGGTAAAACTCCCTTTTAACAGGAAGAAACGTCCAGCAGAACCAAGCTCGGGACGGGAGGCCATCTACTTCAACCAGCTGGGGTTTGAAAGGACGGGAAGGAGAAACAAACAGAATGACAGGTCCAGGTGTACATTCTCTTGGAAGAAAGACAAAAAGACACATGTTAAGGACAGTTAGTGGAGCTGTTGCCTCTCAGCGAGAAAGTTGCTGGATAAAATCCCAGCCAGGGATCTGTCTGGGTGGAGTTTGCACTTTCTTTCCATGCATGCGTGGGTTTTCTCTGGGTAGACTCCAGTTTCCTCTCATTGACCAAAAAACGTGTTAGGCCGATCAATAACTCTAAATTCTTCAAAGGTGAGCATTAGAGAGTGAATGGTTGTTTCATTTGTCTCTATATGGTCCTGTGATGGACTTGAGACCTGTCCAGGGTGTCCCTCGCCTCTCACACAGTGACCGCAGGGTATTCCGGACCCCCGCAATCCGGAAAGGAAGAAGCAGGTAAAGATAATGGATGGATGGAAAGCTATTTATGTAGATTTCTATTATTTGCAAATGCAAATAGCACAGCTAGCTGTTGCACTTCCAGTGGGAGTATCATTATTCTGCAAGAATAACTGTAACATGGAACTAATATTGGTAGTTGTAGTAGTTTCCACAGAACCCCACTTGAAAAGATCTGTACTATCTTGAATTGTGTTGCTTGCTGCACTGCCCTCCATCATTTAGCAGCCAGTGAGTGTGAACACAATATTGCTAATGGCTCTTGTAAATTTGAGGAAAGTGTTTCCAGTGGCCTTAAGTCCTGACGTGGTGTTTGTGAGCAGAGAAAGTGAACCATGACTCGGGGAAGCTCTGGTTTCGTGTGCACAGATCCTATGACCCGACACATATCCGCTCACACAAAACACCAGCAGACGCATAAATAGTCTTAAGAGCGACCCTGAAATGTAAAGAGTTTGAATCTGTCAGGATACTGGAAATATGTCTTTAGTATAACATCAACATGAGCCAGTAGAAAAATTCTGACAGTGTGATAAAGATCCAGTTTTACAATAAATAAAGTAAAATAAAATTTTAAAAAGCATTTCATGAATTGATATTATTTGAAAAACAAAAATGTAAATTATATTATCTTTGGGGCCTGAATAATTACTTATTGCTTAATGATGATTATTTTTAATAGAGTTGCTGCCTCTCAGCGAGCAGGTCGCCGGTACAAATCCCGGCCGGGGGAACCTTTCTGGGTGGAGGTAGCATGTTCTCAAATCTTGTAAACTACATTACCCACAGGACACTGGTTGAAAACAAGTCATGACTACGCTGCTTCTGATTGGGGCAGATTTACAGGATCAGGTGATGCATGACTCATGAGAAATGCTGATTGGTTAAAAGTTAAGAACAAATATTTAGAATAAGTTAGAAATTAAAAATTGGATTTAAATATTCAGCTTAATTAACAGGCTTTTTATTTTAGGTGCTCTTCAGGCGTTTTTAAATGTTTATTCATAATCTCTAAAGTAAAGCTATTGCACAAAATATGTTCTGATTGTTGTCAAGACAGTCTGACAAGCTGAGAAATGTCTTAACTGATTGTTAGCCTCTGTTCTGAGCCTGCAGTAGTGAGCTCTATAAATTTCACCTGCTACAGGCTAACAAACTACAGGCTAACTCCTGTAGTTTGTTGCAAATATTATATTCAACCCAGTGTTACCTTGAAAAGAGAGAACGTTTGTTTCTTCTCTAGAGGACAAGTGATAACTTACTGGGTTATCCTCCAGATAGAAGGTACAACCAACTAATAAAACCTTTGTTTTAAAGCATATAGGGGAATTTCCCCCCTCGGCATTGAACGCAACTGAATTATGACTCTGAGCAACAAGTAGGAGAGTGGGCATGTGATTTGAGCAGGAAACACACAAACAAAATGGCCCTTTTTCTCTGGTGTTTTAATAAAAAAAACGTTAAACCATAAGTAGTGCATAAAAGAAAAATTTAGTACAAAGTAGTTCCGACACCATGATTTTTTTTTTTTTATTACCGTTGAATACTTTGAAACCTGAAGTGGACTCATAGCTGGTATAAAGTTTGTGTTTAATCGCCATAAAGAGGTCAAACATCTGGGAGAACACCAAGAACAGCTTTTAAATAACCTCTAAAGTTAATAGTAATAAAAAAAATATTTGAGGCTTAAAAGATTCAAGGCAGGATGATGGAAGCAGGGTTATTACTTTTTTTTTATTAAAAACTAAATGCAGCCAGTAAATCTGTCTAACTCCTGCAAGAGTCTTGAGTCAACAGTTTCATACAGATGATGACAGAAGAAAATACCATTACGCTCTTATCATCTGCTCCTGCTTCTTCAGTCATCGTCTTTTCATCATCGCCACACCTGCCTCGTTGCTGCTTTTTCCTCAGTTATGACAGAAGCTGAAGGTTAAAGGGAAAGTTGTGTTGGAGAAAAAAAAAAACGGGTTTGGTCTATACACAGGAAGGGAGGAAGCTCAGGGTGGACACTTTTATGGTTATGTGTGTTTGAGGTACAGAAGGTATCTTTGTGCATCAGGGCATCTGGACAAACGCACACATTTAGTCTATGACATCACAACACGCCATGCAGCCGGTAGGAATGTTGCTCCGAAAGGAGAGGCTTTGTGGAGGAGAGGAAAGAGACGGGAGGGGAGGAGAAGGAGAGGAAAAGGCTTGACCAGGGAAAAGTCCGGCACTCCTTTTTGACCGGACTATAGGACAGGGGAGGGCTGGACTGGAAGGGGATGAAACTGAACCGAAAGCGAGACATAGGAATTATATAAAATACTGTAAAACTACAAACGGACTACAGCATGAATCTACAGTTATCACTGAAGTGAACGACTCGTCTGGTTTTTGTAGGAACAGCAGGTGAGTGTTTTTAATGTTAGGACAGAATTCCCCATGGGACTTGCTTGAAACAAGGCAAGTTTGTTTGATTCCTTTCTCTCTAAAACAGTTACTCAACATATTGTGTGAGCTAAACTCCACGGAGCCTCACCCAAAGAAGCCTGATGTGAACTAGAATACTGTAAAAGTGGGGGAAAGGGGGAAGCGTACGTCCAGTCTAAAGATTTACGGTGGTGTCTTGAGGGGAGGGAATAACGGAAATCATAAATACCCACAGGTAATACATCAGTATTTGTCTTGGGTTTAAAATCCAGGCAGTTTGAAAATGAGAACACCAGGCTAAACCTGGACATGGATTCAGTTACTATACAGTATCGTATTTATCTAAGAACCAGAGCCAGTACCACAAACTGTACAGGGTTACAGTGGTGCTTGTTGTGTTTATAAGTCTGCATGAAGATGCAAATTTATGTTAAAGTCAAAAACTGACAAATAAATGCAGTTTTATCTCCAGTCAGGGTGGATATGGATGTATTCTCACAGTGTTGGGAATCGTCCAGCACACAAACCCATGCTGCGTCTCCAGTGTGGATGTTTGGACATTGTGTTTATGTGTCTGTGTGTTTGTATTATTTTATTTTTTTTGTACGTAATGTTTCGAGCTTAAGCAGTACCAGATGTGATAGATGGAGACAGGCGAGGAAGGAGAAGAACATTCAGAACTCTGTCATATCTGCTCTCTGGGTTCCGTTCTTGATATGACTTTCCACAGAATTCGCTCAGTCCCACCCGTTTTAACACCAACTATCACCCCTCCCAAATAACCAGGGCCTCTAGAAGAATGTTTGGGGGTGAGTTTTACTTTTACTTGCAGTCACTCAATTTCTTTTTAACACTTCCATTTACTCTTGCGCTGCTTTAGTTGAACAAAAATGGTTAACCGTGTCCCTCGTCACCAGTACAAGAGTCTGAGCCTTGAGGACAGCGAGCTATGCCTGGAATGTCTGTTCACCTCAGTGAGAGTCAAGAGCATATTCATGAATACACACCTGCTGTAGCTGTACTCAAAAACAACACACTTTGGCTTGAACACACTGCTGCAAAAGCCATACACGCTCTGAAGTGTGTGTGTTGCATTATGAGACATTCCTGTACTGTAGCTCTGTTTTCCTGAGGCAGTAACAGGATATCCTCCCCCTCTGTACTGTCCGCTGGACACACATACACATACTCCCTAACACAAGCACACATTCTTGCATGTGACCAACATGCATGTGCAGAAAATGCAATGGCTCAACTAAAAAGAGACAGTACCTAATCTGTGTTTGGGTGGAGAAAATAGAAGTGGCACCTGGTTCTCACATGGTCACCAAATTAAAACTGCAAGCAGCTATGACAGGGGTTCAATCCCTCCAACGCACGACCCTGTGTTACGCTGCCTCTCATTTAGGGGGCTGGGCCCCTAATTGAGGTCAAAATCATTTGACTTGTTGACAGGCAGAAGACAGGACAGCGAGAAGAAAAACAAAGAAACTCAAGTTTTAGGGGAAGGAAAATTATACATAGCACTTATTATGGCAGGAGCCAATGGATTCTGTTTGTGTTGGACTATTATATTTAGAGCACGGCCAAATATAACTTTTTGTGTATTTCAACTTTGGGGAAAAGTCTGCTGCTTAATTGTCAAAAGCCAATGTGTGGTCTGAAAAATATCACAATATACTCACACAAGCTGAGATAGTAGGGATGCACGATATTATTGGCATGATATCGGTATCAGCCGATATTAGCGATAAAGTTAAATATTGGACATCGGCCATTCCATCAAAATATAAATCACCAATATAAAAGGTGCTGTTTATATATATATATATATATATATATATATATAAAAGGCACTGTTTTTGTATGACCACACAGCACAACGTTATGACGTCACATCCGCCGTTGAGTTTAGATTTGTGAACATTTACAAATTTGCGCTGTTCGAGTGTTATTGTGTTAGAGAGAGTAAATATGAATAAATTTGACTTTAAACATAATCCAAGTTGAAGTGTTACATTATTTTCAGCCCCCTTTTTGGCATCTGCATTTGGTAACAGGCCAAACTGACAAAGACCATGCAGAATAATGTAGTATTTTAATTCAACAGCAGAGAAAGCTATGTAGTCTCTGTGGTCTGGGGGGGGAATATCGGTATCGGTTATTGACCAAATATCCAATATCATGCATCACTATGAGATTGAACTAATAATGACATCCATTGGTGACCAGTTCATGGTGCATCCAGCCTTTTGCCATATGCTGGCTGTAATATGCAGCAGTCCCTCTTTTCCTTATGATTCCAACAAGTTGAAGTGCTTTTAAGAAGCAAATTAATGAATATATTCCTAATTCAGACATGAGAAACCTTTTGCTACCGTGACAAAAATTTTAAGAGAAATTATTCAAGTCCGTCTCTGAAAATGTTTTCACAGTTATCATCTGGGGCATGTATAGTCGGACGATTTTTTGTTGCAATGATGGAGATCTTCATGTTTCCTCGTTTAGAGGGAACTTTATAAAACTACAATAAAATGAAAGTAAAAGAGAGGAGGAGTTTAACAGTATACAACATCCAGTTTGATATATTTCCTTTTGGTTCCAAAAATGAACAATTCTTGAAAAATTATGAAACCTATTGTGTAGATCTGTACTTTACCCAAGACTATCCCAGTTAACCCACAATTAAAAATACTGACATGGTTTACATTAATGACCATTTTTCAGTGTCTGTTATGTTTTGATCAGTTTGGGAGGCAGGGCTGTATCATATTCTAGCTAACATGGATGTTTTTGGTGAGAATAAATGTCAGATTCAATCTAGTGGCTTTTTTATGGTGATATAAGTGCAGGCCACTAAACCACTGTGCACAACATTTTTTTTTAGGGGGAAACAATTAAATATATTCTATAGTAATCAGTTAAAAAAAATTCCTCAACCATATCAGAATTGGTGAATCTCAGCCTCATCATCAATGACTCTATTAGCAGGTAGTCAGTAACAGATTTGTTATTGTCCAAACATGAGCAGGTTCATGAACACAATGGATATTAAAATCTGTTGTTCCTCAATGCAGGAGGGGTCGCCTGAAACTTGGTCAGCCAAGACAGCGCCTTCTGGGCATGCTTTACCACACAATGCATGGGGGCGGGATGACATCCTTAACTTTGCTGCCACCTTCTTTTCCCTGAGAGGACTCAGGAGTAACCACTTAGCCTTGACAACTAACGGCAGTTAAAACATATGGAAAGAATCTGAAAAAAATAAATACATTGAAATCTACTTCAATGCAAAAAAGGAGCAATTCACAAATTTCTCAACAAAAATATAACAGGTCCAAAGATCAGTGTGTTAGCGGTTCTTCATATGAACCGCAGTGGTCCCAATACTGGCCCTTGAGGAACATTATCCTGCAATTGTTTTCCTGCTCCAGCACGCCTGAAACAGTGATTTAATTACGTCATCACATTCTACACACCCATTCATTTAAATCAGATGTGGCAAAGCAGGGAATCATGCAGATGGTGTTCCTCAAGGACCACGATCGGGAACCACTGAGATCATATAGGATATTTAATGGTTTGGTTATGACTGTACAGAGAGGCAGATTCAGGCGGATGGGAAAGATTTGTTGTTGAGGCAGATCCATCCCTTTGCAAATTGTACATTGGACAAAAGAACATTATGAGCAGCCGACGGTAAGAAGGGACATCGCTGCTGTTTGTCGTAAGAGTTCATTTCAGTTGGGTGTATTTTGCACAAAAAAAGCATAAAAACTGTTTTATTTGCCTCCAGCTCAGAGATTTGAAACTGGGAATAAAAGAGAGTTCTGTAACGCAGTAACTAATGGAAGTTTTCAAGGTTTTGCTGTAGAAACGCTCTTTAATCTTTTATTTGAAAAATGCACGTCCTCTTGTGTTAATAGAGCAAAGAAACTTTTTATGATTACTTAAACAAACCACAGATGTTTAGACAGTTTGTGAAGCAATTAAAGCAGAGAAACCAATAAGAAAAAAAATGCACATTTGTCTACAACGTCTTTTTATTCATAGTCTATCCAGAGACAGTATTAAGTAAAATAGTTATGCGACTTAACCAAATGAGTCAACAAAATATCCTGTGAACATACTTTTTTCTCAGAGGAGGAAAGAGTGGACGGCAAAGTGTAGAGGAAATTGTTACTTCTTTGTGAGACAGACCAGAAGGAGTTTTTAACTATTTTAATCCTTCATGTGACTCCTCTGACCACTGCCTCTGGCTCTGAACAATCTGGGAAAGGAGAGGGGGAGGAAAATATGTTTAAAAAAAAAAATCTGAATGAGAGGATTTAAAGAAAAGAGGAAGAGCTAAATAAGAAAAATTACTTGGATTTATTCTTCATATTGATAGTTTATTGTAAGAGGCACATAAAGACAAACATTTCTTCTGCTAGTGTGGTTTTATTCAAATCAGTTTACTAAAGTGATCCTCGTTCGATTTCTGTGCACACACTTGGTTAGAACAATAGAGGTCATTGAATCAAACGCATCCTTGCAGAAGAGGGGTAATGGGTACAATAGTGTTTGCTAATAATCTACATACAGACAAAGCAACGGATCATAAAGACAGGAGTGTTAAGGTAGCTGCTTTCTAACAGCATATCTGGAATGTGTGGAATGGGCGGTTTACTGAATCACTGAGCCACAGGTTTGATTCCTACGTGATGAAATGCATGAATTTGTTCCTGGATAAATAGCTGCAAGTGATAAGGTGTATTAATAACTGTTGAGATAAAGGCAATGGGTTAAAGTTTTATTATAAATATATTAAATAAAAGAAATCAGCGGTCACGCCAGCTAGAAATTTGTTTTCAGTCTAGAAAAATTCAAATGAGGGCGGACAAAGATTTTGCATTTGAGTTATTTGCTCCTACTGAACTTGCGGAATAACTCGTTTAAATGGGAATCACAAAAAAAAAAAAAACTACAAGAACACCAAAGATTTTACACTTCTTGAAATATGCAGAACCTTAGATGTTTCGCTCTCCAGTTCCCATCATTATTAAGACATGTACAAAAAAAATATTACTGCAGTTTTTAGAAAGCCTGTCAGTTTCTAGACATACACAGCAAATTCAGAGTTTTTAGGCTTCAACATGGACCCGATTTGCAGTTTGTATTAAACATATAGCTGAACTTAAAAATAAAGTTTATTCTGCAACAATACAACTGCATATAATCCAGTATAATATAGTATGCAATATGTACTGTGTACCCAATAATGCATCTACTAAAATGATGAGTTTACCTCAAGGTCTGTGTTGAAGGAGCTGCAATTTGGCTCCCCCTAGTGGTGAAAATGAGTCAAAGCCTCATTTTATTACAGAGAAATTACTAAACAATGTTGCTGCAGAGCAGACTGAAACATTTGTTTTTGCATGAGTTGTGTTTTCCTAACGTGTTTAGTAAAAGCAGTTTAAAGTCAGTCTATTTGTTAAAGTTTATGTTTTGACTTTGAGCCTGTCCATCTCTGAAACATGTGCTTGTTTGTTTGTTGTGACACAGAAACCGTGGCGAGCAGCCGATGATGTCAGTGACGCTCTACCAAAAGAGCGAGCCCTGAAAAGTGTCAGTTTCCAGGAATCGGTCAGCGTTTTCTCTGGCACGCCTGCAGACATGGAGCTGCAGAGCCAGCAGATCCAACATGGCTGCCTCAGCAGCCCCAGTAACCCAGTACAGACTCCTGACAGTGAGGTGCAGGTATGCATGAGCTCAAATATTTTATGTCAAAAGAGGCCAACACAAAAAGCAGCATTTCTCACTTTAATCCAAGTTATCAATGGTGGGATTGCTTTTATCTGTTTTTTTTCTTTTGCGTAACAACTTCTCCCAAATTTATCATTTTGTTTCAGCAGCTGATCAATTTAGTAAATTGTTTGATTTGCACACAAAGAATCTTTAGTGAGTATATTTTTATCACTAAATCGAGTCAATTCAGAAAGAGCAATGAGAAGAATTAATTAATATTTTATAATTTAAAGACAAATTTTAAGATTTAATACATTAAAATTTAGGTGTTTTTGTCCTCAGTTTATGTCTTCTATTAAAATAATGTTTACATTCTTCATCCAAACCATGTTTTACACTAAATCTATGTATTAAGTGCTCCAGCATTTCAAAACCATTCTGTGTTCACAGGAGATCCGCTACCTGGACCAGGTGTTAGACGCAGCCTCAGAGACGCCCACGAATGGAAACCCTTTCACGTTGGAGCACATTGAACCGCTCAGCTTCAACGGAGCCGCTTCTTCTGTCTGCGTGTCATCCTCCTCTCCTGCCAATCATCAATCAGTCATCATAGACGAACAGAGACCGAGCGCGTTCGTCCACCGGGAGGAGTCTGCTGTGAGAGCCAACGGACACGTGCAGAGAGACGAGTCGGGTAGCGGCGCGGCCAAGTTTGAGCTGCGAGCGTTTCACGAGGAGAGGCGCCCTGCTAAACTCTTCACCCCTGGAGAGGAGCAGCAGGTCAGGGTGACGAGAAGACGACCCTCAGAGGAGGTGAATAGATTTTTACTCATTCATCAGATGTACAGTAGTCCCTCGCTCTATCGCAGTTTTTCAAAATAAGAATGGACGTGACACAATTGGCTGATTGATGGATGAGCCGCACGATCGGCATGGCATTTTTATTTACAGTGAACTATTTTAAATTATTTAGCACCTGCTGCAACTTTGTGCAACCCATACTGCAGGATAAACTTCCTGCTGCAGCAATCAGCTGCTCTCCGTTTAGAGCGTAGAAGTGGGCGTGGCCAAGAGCACTTGCAGGTGGCTGAGAGCAGCAGAGGCAGGGAGCTGAAATCATGACATTACGTGTTATTTTAGAGCGTTTAGGGTTTAGAAACATTGTTTAGAATATTGCAAGAGTGTGAGAAGGGTTTAAAATGCCTTTATATATATATATATAGATATATAGATATATAGATATATATACATATATACATATATACATATAATATACTAAAATAAACTACTACTTACTATTTGTCCTACTTTGTGGTTTTTCACTTGTCGTGGGTCTTCAGGTCATGGATCCCCTGCGATAAACAAGGGACTACTATATCTGATACAGTCAGGCATTTTTTTTATTATTATTATTTTTCCCTTAAAAAATCTACGTCTTCACTGGCCTATATGTATAACGTCTATTTATGTTGCTTTCCTGTGGTAGGTTTTGTGATGCCTCAAATCGTGCCCTGTCTAGGACATGGTGTGAGAGATCTTTTTTTATACTGTCTCTCCTCTTGTTTTCTTCCCTTTTCTCATCTAAGCAAAAATATTATTCTGAATAAGAATAATGAGGGCCGCGCTTTCATAGTAGCAGCTTCGTGCACTCCGCCCATCTTTCGGACGACTGTACGTACATGTACATGATCTTGTTGTATCACTGTGCAGCATTAATAAAGTTTATTCTAATTCTGATTTTACTGTCAGGATTAGGTCTCGGAGTCATCTCACAAACTGGGCATAAAGGTTTCTTCTTTTTTAACTGTCAATTATCATGATATTTAATTGGATCACTACTTTCTCCCCAGGTTCAGGAGTTGGAGCGTGAGCGTCAGGAGCTCATCAAAGACCAGGCGGTAAAGAAGAACCCCGGGATCGCTCAGCGCTGGTGGAACCCTCCTCAAGAGGTAGAAACTACCCTTCTTTGGTTTTTCTTTAAACGCTAACGATCTTATGACAGGTTGGTTGATTGGTTGTTTATTTTTTTTTTTATGATTTTAAGGTCCCTTTGGAAGAACAGCTGGACAGAGAGCAGCTCGAGTCTCTCAAGAAATACCAGGAGAGGAAACAGCAGAAACAAAATCACCCTTATGTGTTCACACAGGTAACCAGTGGTGGAGAAAGTACTCAAACACTGTACTTAAGTAAAAGTGCAAATAAACAGACAAAAATGTTCTCTCCTAAAAGTAAAAGTACCACATTAATGTTTTTACTTAAATAAAAGTAAGTAAGTACTTGCTTTTAAAAAATACTTAAAGAATTAAATGTAAAAGTACTTGCTGAATGTATGCAATGGTCTACAATATCATTATGTGTACTGTATGTATATTTTCTGTAATACGTTAATAGTGTTGAGCCATTTTAATGAACAACGCTGCAGATAATACGTTTTTATTGTGTTTACTCTGTGACACAGTTCACACTTGGACTTGTGATTCTCTGCATCAGAATTTCAGGGATGACCTGCAGAGTTAAATGCCATTAATCAAAATAAGAAAGAGGAATGATTATACCTTTGAAAGTTTTTATTTAACACAAAGCAAAACCAATGTGTCATTTTAACTGCAGTAAACACATTGAAGTAAAAGTTGTCTGCCTGAAAAAGGAGCATTAGACACAACTAACAAAGGAATATCAGATCATTTCAACTCCAGTTTGTCATCAACTCTAGTTGTAATGGGTCAATAGTGAACAATATTTTAACTTCCTGCCACCATTTTCAAAACTTGGACCCGAGTGTCGAGCCATTTGGAGACATCTCTCGTCTCCTAACATCCCATGAACTGACACATTTTAATATTGCAGCAAGAATTTCTTGTTCAAGTTCAGAAGAAGTTGGTTTTCAATGTATTTTGAGTCCAGTCTGGCTCAGGAGAGAGAATCTGTCCTGAACAGTGTTTCAATAGTCTTTCAATAGTCTTTCAATTGTCTTTCAATAATCTTTCAATAAGGCCATGGGTGGTGTGTATCTTCTGGCTGACTCTCTGTGGTGGAATTTGGGTGTGTTAGCGGTGCTGTGGGTGAATCCAGCTCATTGACGTAGAATATACATCATTGGCCCAGCTCTTCTTGAAGGCGGGTCTAACGTTACCTGCCCACTTTGCAGTGATTCATTGAACCAACTCTCCTCTCACCATTGGTTATTTTCAAACTAACAAACAACGCACACAAAAAAATAAACAACACAACGTGAATGTAACTTGCAACACAACGCATTATAGAAATGTAGCGTAGTAGAAAGTACAGATGCTTAATGTAAATGTAGTGGAGTAAAAGTCGAAAGTACTCACACTTAGCTCTACTTATGTAAAGTACAGATACATGAAAAATGTACTTAAGTAATTTAATTAAGTACTTGTACTTCGTTACATCCCACCACTGCAGGTAACACAATAATGGAAGGGAATAGATTCTTTTTTTTTCTATTATGCACTCAGACAAGTTTTTAAGGCGAGTTTGAAGACAGTACAATTCATCACTAAAAATAAACGTCTGATGTGCATATTGTTTCTAAAAGTGATGGATTGTCCTCTCACTCCTTCTAACCCTTGCAGCCCCAGGTGTCAGGTCCTCCCACATTAGTGTCCTTTGATCCAGACATGCCCAGGAAGGAGGACATCGTGGAGGAGCAGATCGACTTCTCGTCTGCCAGGAAGCAGTTCCTGCAAGCAGATGCTCCAAAGAAGGATGTGACTCCTCAGTTGTACTCGGCCAAACCCTTCTCAAAGCCCACAACGAAGAGCAGCCCAGGGAGCTGCGACCTGGTTGCAGAGACGGGAGAGACGCATGTGACTTGGTCAGATGTAGGTCTTGCAGGGGAATTTACTTGCGCTCGAGCAGTAATGACAATCCTGCGAGAAGATGAGGAAGGAAAAGGTCGATTTTATCCGTCTTTTCAACCGGAGGAGTCTGACTCGGGTTTAGATGAGTTATCGGTCCGCTCTCAGGACACTACTCTGTTTAGTTTGGATAACATTTCAGACAGCGGTGCTTCTCTACCCCCAACTCCATTGCCGCTTACCCCGGTGTCTCCACCAACCCCCCAGCCCACAACTCCAGTGAACGGGCAGACCAACGGCAGCCCAACAGAGGAGGAGCTGGAGTACCACGCAGGAATGCTCGTCCAAAACGCTATCCAGAGCGCCCTCGCAGCTCAGAATGGAAGGGACTTAGACTCCACTCAGCTGAGTGCCCCTGTGTCGCCATCTTCTGTCTCCACCAGTAGCCCAGTGCCAGTTTCCTCCTCGCCTGTATCCTCCAGTGGAGCTCCAAGTTTCCAGTCTCCAGCGTCCTCCAGTCCTTCACCGTCCAACACCTCTCCACAACCTGACACGCAGCCACTGCAAAGAGCAATTTTTCCAGAGAGTCCTTCAGGATCACAGCAGTTCGAGCAGGTCTCCAGTTCAGCTCAACTTTCACAGCTCCAGGCGCCGTCTCCTCCACCATCTCAGCCAGTTTCACCCCCGCAGAGACCTAGAAATGGAGGCCCGAGGATCAAAATCCAGTCTTCTTACACCAGAGCGCTGGCCTCTTCGGCGCCAGCTGCAGCTCCAGCTCCTGCCACAGTGGTTCCCGTCCCAAGGCCAACTCCGGTGTACCGTCCCCCATCTCCTCCGAGCCCAGAGAAATCCGAATTCAGCTACTTCAGTAAATACTCCGAGGCGGCGGAACTGCGGAGCACGGCAGCGACGACTCGCGGCCCCGAGGTGGAGGCAGCCAGCGGCCCGTTCCGCTTGCGCTCCAAAAAGCAGAAAACGTTGTCCATGATAGAAGAGGAGATCCGAGCGGCTCAGCAGAGGGAGGAGGAGCTGAAGAAGCAGAGGGAGGCACAGCCTGCCGTTGTCGTCCGACCCAGCACTACGTCCATCAACAATCAGGGACCTGTGAGACGAGGACCGAGGCAGACCACCATCTCCCCGGCAGATAAGATGAAAAGCAACAGCCTGCCGACTAAACTCACACTGACTGCACGGACAGCACCAGGTGAGCTCATCCTGCAGTTCTTCACAATAAACAGCTTAAATAAGAGTGGCAGTAATAATAATGTCTCCATTTGCCTGTAACATCAGCAAAATATATTGGAATCACTGAACTAGTTTTAATGGAGGTACATTAATAACTTTTGAGTCAACCCTTTTTAAGATGGCTACCGCAAGTAATCATCCTTAGCGACCACAAAAATTGCGTTGGAGTTGAGTTGAGCCTTTTGTCATCCAGTGTCTTCAGTAGAAAGAGAGACACGAAGAAACAATAAAGCCGATAAATGAAAATTATCAACCTCATTTTAATTGATCATGCGATTAATTGATTTGTTTATCGCGACAGGCCTAGTGGAAGTAGCTAAGAGCCATCTAACACCCAGTCATGTGCAATAAGCATGTCTTTAATTTATTTTGTTTTTTTCAGGAAAGATTGAGAAAGTTTGCCCCGCTCCACCCGTCTCCCCCTCGCCCTCTGAAGGTGCCCTGTCTGATGCCGGCAGTGAGGACTCTGGAGGATCAAGACCTAAAAACTTTATGCAGACCCTTCTGGAAGACTACGAAACACACAAGATGAAGAGGAAGGAGAAAATGGAAGACAACAGTGTAAGTCTTAAATAAACAAAATAAATGACAAAAGGAAGATATGTTCTTATTTTCACCAACAAAAAAAAAAACATGTTTCACTCTGAAAATCTAGATTTTTAAAGAATACTTTCCATTTCTTGTGTTTGTCAGAAACGTGTAGACATTTCCAGGAACAACCTCGGTCAGGACAGTGTAAGAAACTGAAAGGGTTTTTCAGACATCACATGAGTGTTTGAGTTTGGTGGCGGTTGATGTGAGAACAGTTGAATGCCTTCATGCTGTTGGTATGAGCTACCACGGCCACACCAGAGGGAAACTCCCTCACCAAGGCAGGAAACTGAAGCGAAAGTAACACAAGCTGACGCTTTCTGTTCTGTTCAGGGTTTTAGGTGAAACTTGGTAAATCAAGCTTTGATTATTACAAATATGTATTAGCAAAATTACATTTCAATAGGTATTTTATACATTTCAAAATAGTACATTTTTAAGCGTTTACTATTTTTAAATTGATTTTTGCTCCAACTGTTTTTAAATCTCTGCGGCCAGATTGTTGTTTGCATCTGTTTTCATTGTTTATTGATGATGACATCACATGTGCTGACTTGGTGTACTGTTGCTTCTCTCCTTGCTAATGGGTCAGTATGCCCATTTGCTGCTGGCTAACGAGGTAACCACTGAGGTACCCGATTCACCCCGAAACCCGTCACTCCTTCAACTTTTATACTGACAAACCTGGGTCGGACAATACGGAGAGCATTCTTTGCATTTGGAACACACCCATGTTCATATTTGGACCATCACAGACAAACATGAAAAAAAAATGGATGAATTAGCTCGATTGACTTCTACTGAAGCCAAGATGTCTGCTTTTTTAGGGGGAAGCCATGTTTATTTGAAGCCAGAGGCTGTACCATTGATACAAACGTTCCGCCTACACACCTTCCACCTCGCTAACAGACTATTAGTGTGGTTAATCTCAAATAACTAACTGAAACTAAACATATTTTAAAGTATACGTATAACAAACAGGAGCGAGGTAAGAAACAAAAATCAGCCCCTGAAAAATTGATCTGAAGCTTATTTTTTTATTTGTTTATTTGTCAAGAAAATGTCTGATTTGTACAGAAGGAGGGGTGGGGCTTTTAAAAAAAATGTAGTACATCCACACACTAGGGGGCGCTTATTCTTTGCGGCTTCAACTTCTGGCTTTCAGTCCTGTGTCTAGTTATATGTTGATGGTTACAGCATATTAGGAATGTACAATATTGGATTTTTGGCCGATATGCCGATATGTTAAAACGTATTTGGCCGATAACCGATACCAGTACCAACTTTTTTTTTCTTCCTAGACCTACTTACAGAGACTACGTAGCTTTCTCTGTTGTGGAATTAAAATACATTATTCTGCATGGTCTTTGTCAAGTTGGCCTGCTACCAAATGCAGATGCCAAAAAGGGGCGTGAAAATGATGCAACACTTCAACTTTATTATGTTTAATGTCAAATTTATTCATGACATTTACTCCCTCTAATACAATGACAACACTCGAACAGTGCAAATTTGTAAATTTTCACAAATCTAAACTCAACGGCGCACGTGTACTGGAGCTGCAGGCATCCTTGTCACTGGGTTGTCCTACAAAACCAGTGCCTTTAATATATATAAAAACAACCCCTTTTATAGCGGTGATGGAATGGCCAATGTCCGATATTTCACTTTATCGCTAATATCAGCCGATACCGATATGCCGATAATATCGTGCATCCCTACAGCATTAACATAAACTTTCAATTCTTCCTTTTTTATTGTGCTGTTCAGATGTTTTAGATACCAGATAGCAAGAAAGGATGCTCTGAATTCAAATCTTATTTAAACACTTTCTGTTTAAAAAAAAAAAAAAAAAGACCAGATCTCTTTAGAAGTAGAATCTGGTTCTAAAGCAACTTCCTATCAAAGAAACAAAAAATGGATCTCGTCCTGATCCCAGGTCTGTTTGTTGTCCCACTGCCTTGTTCTGTTTTGTTGTGGTAGTTCTGCATGTGCTTGTGAGTAACGCTGCTGTTTGCGTACCACCTAAGAGTACAATAATTGTCGGACCCACCGTGTGTTTGTGTTAATGTTGGCATGAATGTGTAAGAGGGACTGTGATTGGAAATCTAAAGTCTGGAGCATGACGCATTTCCTTAACTTGAGCAAAACAAGTTATTTTGTTGTTGAACTCTGCAGGTGGGCTTCATTTTGGTAGTTTATGTGGACGGGTGTCATTTTAAGCCAGGAGGACGGTTTAACCAGACGCTCTCAGTGTTTGACGCCACATTGCATGTCAGACTTTGTGCAGATTTTTCATGACCGTGTTGCTCTTTCTTTCCTCAGGGTTGGAAAAGCATGTGTTTTATGCTCACGATGTTGCTCTGAATGGGCTTGAAGCTTACGGCTCGTTTTATATTTTAGGTTCTGGAGGCCACTCGGATGACCAGGAGAAAAAGCAACATGGCGCTGAAATGGGAGGCCGGTATCTACGCTAATGAGGAGGGAGAGGATGAAGAAGAAGAAGAAGAGGAGGAGGAGTGAACAAATTCATCCAGAGATGGAAGCTGGAATAAGAGGACTAGGAGATTGAAGGGAAAGTGGGAGAATGATTTAACCAGTATTTATTTTACTAACAGTGATCATGTCGATGAAATTCATCAGATTTGATGGTTTTCGGAGCGAAGGGCTGAAGGTGTAACAGTAAGTGTCTCAGTCTGTGGGAGATTGCTGAAGGATTAAGGAGTTTTGAAAAGCAAGTCAGTGATGCAAGAGACATTTTAGAACAATTTAAAGCAAGAGGTTGAAACAATAGACGGATGTAAACCAATTCAAATGATTTTTTTTTCAACTATTTTCAGTTTTTATTATTGAACTTTGAGCTACGGGTTCCCGACAATTACTGATGAGCGCTTTTGGTAACGTGTTCAAAACATTTAAAAAGAAGTTGCACGTGTGTGACTGCAAGTTGTAAAAGTATAGAGGCCAAGAGAAAGCACACTAATGTAGGAATTTTTTTGACCTTTAGTGATGCTGCATGAGGACGGACTGCAGTGTTTTTGAGGAACTGAACCAAAGGACACCACTGAGCAAACCTCTTAGAATGTGTTTCATCACGTGCAGCCTGCAGAGCGACAACACAGCACTCTGCAGGCATTCTTAAAGCACGTGTTCAATCAAAACTGTCAGATTAACAGCTTGGATGTTTTTGAATGCTGGTAAGTAAATCTGCTCAACAAACTTTAAGACTCTGAGTATATGATGCATTTTATTCACTTCTGTTGTATTGCTGCAATTTCAATAGAGCTTAGAGAATAAAAGCAACCCCGTTAGATGGGTTTGTCTATAATCACTATTGATTTATCCTTGAAGAACAGAAATATTTGAGGTGGACAGAAATTTAGCGTGTTTATAAAAAAAAGGGCTGCGTCATGAGGGTTATTCTCTTAAAATCACTTCTTTTAACTTGATTTGTTCATGAAGCTCTTCTTGGTGTACGCAGTTATCATGTATTAATGAGGTAGTGTTCGATGTATGCTATTTGTTTGAGGAAAAAAAAAATACAAAAACATTTTGTATTTTTTAAAAAATGGTTGTACCAAAAACTAAATGTTATTTAGAGCAAGAGAGGGAAAATTGGGATGCACGATATTGGATTTTTGGCCGATATGATAACTTATTTGGCCGATAACTGATATCAATACCAATTTTTTTCTTCCTGGACCTACTTACCTTACTTACTACATACAGTAGCTTTCTCTGCTGTGGAATTAAACCCACTGAGCCTTGATGACTCATTTACAAGAGAGAACAGTTATTCTGCATGGTCTTTGTCAGTTTGGCCTGCTACCAAATGCAGATGCCAAAAAGGGGGCTGAAAATTATGTAACATTATATAAATATATAATGTATTTAAAAAAAAATTAAAAATCAGTGAATTATTTTGATGAAATGGACGATGTCCGATATTTAACTTTATCACTAATATTGATCGATACCAATACCATGCCAATAATATAGTGCATCCCTAAGGAAAAACAGTCCGCCTAAGCTTTTATTTAAGTAGCGATTGTGTGCGTGGGTTTGCACTCACCTGAAACAAGCGCACGACAGCAGGAAGTGACACGAAGAGGCTGCAGCAACAGAGTTCTGCTTGTTTCGAGGACAAAGTGGACTTTTTTTTTTTTTTTTATAACATGCATTGTAATGAATGATGTGATTATTCGTTTTCTATACAGCCTTTACACGCTATTCTTCGACATGGGCCTGAGTGTGATAATCAAACGAGAATAAAGACGTTTTCATGCTTGAGCTGCACGATATTATCGAATATCGCAATGACAATGTCTGTTGTGATAAACCCATATTTTCCTCACTTCTCACATGTGGACCTAATAGTTCGGCTGCTTTCATGTAAATTAGCCCTCTAGAGAAGTGGCGTTTTAATTTGATTGTCAATGATATTATTGTCATGCAGTATGCGTTTGTGAATATTTTGAAACCCTTGGCAATACTAATACTGTGTAAAATGTCAATATGAGTAATGCATGTGGCCCGGGCTTTAGCTGAGAATAAAAGTAGTAAAGTTGAGACGGCTTTGGAGGTAGACGGTGGCAAAATGTTTCATATAATTCTTTAATGGGCCGTGCATCAAAGCCTGTGAATTTTTTTTTGTCTCTGTTAGAATGTTTGAAAAAGAAAATCGTCAAACCAAAGGTCAGTTTTGATCACGTCTGTGTGTCCTGCACAAGTGTCCTTCAGCGAGGGGCCGACCTTAGTGATGCACACTGAGGCAAGCTTGCAAAAAAATATATAATAATTAAAAAAGACACACATGCTAACCTTTGACTGTATTTACTATTTTACTTAGTTATTGCTGACACATTATTTGACTCGACTGTCTTGTAATGAGCTCCCTGAAGAAGACGAAGTGCCAGTAAGCACCAGTGAAACACCCTCTGATGCGTTCAAAACTCCGAAACAAAAGACAAGTGTTAGAATATTTTTTATTATTCTTAAGTATTTAAATAACCTGAATCGTTTTTGTGTTTTTTTTTTGTTTTTTTTTAAGAAAGAGAAAAAGTGTTTCCCAGGTATTGTGATTTCAAGTGTTGTGATCTTTTAAGTTAAATTCAAACAGATGTTTGTGGCTGTTTTTGGACTGAGCTGCTGCAGCGTATTGTAAATTACAGACCCAGGAATCCCCCGATTTATTTAAAGTTCTCACAGACACACAGAGGAGTTGTTGCATTTTGTTGTTTATAATAATTATCATTATTAATAATACGCTTATGTTTGAGCCTATGGTGCGTAGAGGATTTTATTTATCAGTTTAAATGCTGGTAGCCTTTTCTTGTTCAACTCCACGGCTTCAGTGTGGGACTCACACTGTCCGATCATGTGTGATAATTCAGTTATATAAAGCATAACCTCCGTTTTTTATGTTAACCACTTGTATGATCACATTCTGCTTTTGGTATTTTATAGCACATGTAAGGCTCACCGTATACTCCTCCTACAAATATTATGAATATTTTCTCATTAAAAGTAAAACCTGTACACGTTTGAGTGCTTCATTTGTGTGCCTTTCAGTTACATTTTGAATAAATGTGATTTATCTTTAATTTAGCCTTTCTTCTACTTTCACTTTAACCTGTTGGGAGAGCCAAGAGTGAAACAGAAAGTGAAACTTCATTCAGCAACAGGATATTTGGTGTTGCAAGTCTTTGCCCTGCTTATCTGAGGGACAGTAGCTAAAAAGTGTAACAATATTATATCACTCTGCCAGCACAAAAGCTACAGCAGCATAACAGATTCATGCTGTGCAGATAACCGTGTAGAACCCCTACCAACGGAGAGCAGCCAGCTTTGAAAGTATCCTGTGATTATTGCAAGGGATGCACGATATTGGATTTTTGGCCGATATCCGATATGCCAATATGTTAAAACTTATTTGGACGATAACTGATATTAATACCGATATTTTTTTCCTACACCTACTTACAGAGACTACATAGCTTTCGCTGCTGTGAATTTAAAATACTACATTATTCTGCATGGTCTTTGTCAATTTATCCTGTTGCCAAATGCAGATGCAAAAAAGGGGGCTGAAAATGATGTAACACTTCAACTTGGATTATGTTTAATGTCAAATTTATTCATGGCATTTACTCTAACACAATGACAACACTTGAACAGTGCAAATTTGCACAAATCTAACATCAATGTGTTCACAGGTGACAAGTGATGTATAATAGTAGTGCATTAATAGAAATACTTGACAGTTTCTTAAATTAAAAATTAACATAAAACAGAAGCTTTTTATATCGGTGAGTTATTTTGATGGAATGGCCGATATTTACCTTTATCGCTAATATCAGCTGATACCAATACCATGCCGATAATATCGTGCATCCCTAATTAGTGGCATGTGTGCCTTTATGTTTGCTTCCAGGTTTTAGCAAAAATATAGATTAAAAAGAAATCGCTCAGCGTACAAAATCAGCAACATATTTTTAGTTCTGGACATTTGTTTCTTGTTTTAAAACAATATTTGCACATTATTGTGTTCTGTTTTTCTTCACATTCTCTTAATATTTTTTGGCAATGGGATTCAGACCCGGTGCCAATGGACTGGCTGGCCCCGGGCCGGTCCATTCAGGTATCCCGACAGATTACAACATCGTATAAATAAGTTGAACCTTTGCGATGTATTGACTCAAGACAACCAGCAGAGGGTGCTGTAGTCGATTAAACTGGATTTTTAGAGGCAATAAAGAAGACAAACTAGTTTTCCAATGCTAATAATTATCACAAGAAGAAGGAGAAGAAGACACTTTGATAAGGTAATATGCCACACTTGACATCAGGTCTTTTTAAGATGGATTTTCCACCATTTTTTTAATTATTATTTATTTATTTATTTTATTTGTTGCATTCAAGTTTGTCCAACAAAAGAGTGGAAATGTTAAAAATGTTTAGTTTTATTTTATTTACATTATCCCCTCCCTTCAGGAGAAGTTCATGTACAGTTACCTTCAAGGTTTTGGTGTCAATGTGTTTCAAACACTGTGATTAATGCAGTGCTATAAGATTTATGTAAAAAAAATGTTTATGCAAATAATTTCTCAGCATTTTCTGGACGTTTTGTATTAATAAACAACATGGGATTATTTCAGTTGCATGGTTACATAAACGTTTATTTATGTATAAAATAAAATGACTACCGGTATTTACTAGCCCCCCCAAAATATTCCTCAGCCCCCTCAACTAAATTCTTCTGAATCCGGGTCTGTTGGGATTATTGTTTCAGATTGTGTTTGATTTACTCTTCTGAGTGCAGCATTTTTAACATTATTGCGAAACAATAATAATAATAATAAAGTTGTGGTTTTCTTAATGTGAAATTTAAAATAAAAGTTACCCTGAAGTGAAAATGCGCCCCGGAGGCTGACACTGAGAGTTGGTTCTGTAAAATTTCAGGAACAGAACCCTCAACGCACCAAAGCAGCCAAACCTGCAGAAAGATCGAGGAAGTGCGCGCGTAAAGACGCACCGCCCTCCACAACCAGAGGCGCACCAGAAGGAAAGCAGAACTCTGCGGCGCACAGATCGTGTGGAACAATCATGGCGCACTGGTGCCAGGCGGCCTTCCGGCACATCGAGCCGATCATCGTGCTGGAGCAGCTGGGCAGCTCGCTGTTCGACACCGCCCTGCAGATGGTGGTGAAGGACCGCTGCGCCAACGCCACCTACCCGGGTCGCTCCAGAGAGGACAGCCAGCAGAAAGCCATGACGGACTTCTACATGATCTACAACCTCATCATCCAGTTCACCACCATCGTCCCCGCGCTGCTGCTGGCCAAGTTCGGCGACCGCGGCTGGAGGAGAGCGCCCGTGGTGGTCCCCCTCATCGGGTACCTGCTGTCCAGGCTCGCCCTGCTGCTCGTGCTCACCTGCGGGCTGCCGCTGCAGGTGATGTACGGGGCGGCGGTGCTGTTCGGCCTCTCCGGCGGGTTCAGCGCCTACTGGCCCGGGGTCATGACGCTGGCGTCGCTCGCCTCCACGGCGGCGGGTCGCTCCACGGTTAGTGCAGTCAATTATTAATAATAATAATAATAATAATAATAATCAGCTTCAGGTGAAACGAGGATTTGACGCGTAAATCAACCAAATAAGTGGGTTCCAAAGTGTGGCTCGCGGCCCCACTGACGGTCGGGAAACAATAATTAGTGGGTCAATTCAATTCAGTTTATTTATATAGCGCCAAAACAGAAGTCACTTCAGGGCTCTGAACAGAAATATTCATATATAAAAATGATCATTTTGAATTAGTTATCTTAGGAGCAGACTTCTTTGAATTTAACTCCATCACAGAACTCTCATCTTGAGCAAACATGAAGGCGACAGTGGAAAAGAAAAACTCCCTCATGAGGAAGAAACCTTTAGCAGAACCAGGCTGAGGACAAGCGGCCATCTTCTTCCACCAGCTGGGTTTGAGAGGAACAGATACACAATGGCAGGTCAAGAATCACGTTAAGATAGAAATAATGTAAAATGAAAATTATTCAATTTTAACAATTAATTTAATGAAATGAGGTCAATTTGTCCTCTAGTAGTCTCAGCTTAAGGCAGCATAACAAGCCAACCCTAACTATAGGATTTATCAAAAAGGAAAGTCTTAAAACTGGACAATGTGTCGGCCTCACAGACAGAAACTGGAAGTTGGTTCCACAAGAGAGGAGCCTGAGAACTGAAAGATCTTCCTCCCATTCTGTTCGTGGAAACTCTAGGAACCACAAGTAAGCCTGCAGTCTGAGAGCGAAGTGCTCTGTTAGGAAAATATGGAACAATAAGATCTGTAATATAAGATGGAGCTAGGCTGTTGAGAGCTTTGTAGGTTAGAAGTAAGATTTTGAATTCAATTCTGGATTTGACAGGGAGCCAGTGGAGAGAAACTAAAACTGGAGAGATATGATCTCTCCCACTAACACCAGTTAAGACTCTGGCAGCAGCATTTTGGATCAACTGAAGATTTTTTAAAGAAGTATTTGGACACCCAGATAATAAACCATTGCAATAGTCCAGTCAAGATGTGACAAATGCATGAACCAGTTTTTCTGCATCATTTTTAGATAAGATGTTTCTAATTTTTGTGATATTACGCAGGTGGAAGAAGGCGGTTCTAGTAACGTTTTTAATGTGCGGGATAAAAGACATGTCCTGATCAAAAATAACACCAAGATTTTTAACATTAGAGCTGGAGGACAGATTAATGCCATCCAAGTAGGGCGAAGGACTGAAACATTTATTCCTACGATGCTCAGGTCCAAAAATTAACACCTCAGTCTTGTCTGTGTTCAAAAGCAGAAAATTTAGGGTCATCCAGGTTTTTATGCCTTTGTCTTTAAGACATAGTGGGTCTTGAGTTAATCTCTATAAAACAAGTTAACTTTTAACCGTTATTAGTAAATGCATGTTTTTACAGTTATTATAGCAACAATACCCCAAAAAAGTGGTCAGAAATGAAAGAAACAATATTGTTTTGTTGGTATTACTTGTTTAGTTGACTTATTATTAGCAATGTTTTATACTTCACCCATACACTACCATATTATACCAGTGTTCCCCAACTCTGGTCCTTGTGGCCCACTGTCCTGTACAAATATACGTTTCCCTTCTTTAACACACCCGGCTGAAATGAGCATCGACAGGCTTCTGCTGAACTTGATGACATTATTATAATCAGGTGTGCTGAAGGAGAGAAACAGCTAAATCATGCAGGACAGGGGGCCACGAGGACCAGACGTCTGTTAAAGACCATTGTAGCCTGGTGGTCCGTGCCAAAAACCCTGAGGCTGCGGGTTTGACCCCATGTTGTCAGGAAGTTGCACGTTGCTCGCTGTGGGGACCTCTGCAGAAGGGAGCAGCTGAAATGAAAGAATAAAAACGGATGTGAGATTTTCCAGACTTCAGCTTCTGGTTTCAGCTGTAGTGCATACACAGTCTACGACTCGGACCACTAGTCGGAGTTGGGACGCTTAGACCACGGAGCACATTCTTTTTCAGTCAGACTGAGCTAGAAGTGATGACAAAAGCATAAAATGAAATGAAGAGGTCTCAAATCATGGACTCCCCATAGCTGTCTAAATAAATACAAAAAAATAGACTTAAAAATACTAGAAATCACCTACAGGTTAAGTGTCTACTAGAAACAGCTGTTTTGTTTAAATCAGTCACGTGGTCAGAGATGGAGTCCACTGGTCTCATTGCCAGATCTGAGCAACGTATTATGTATTTTTTAACTATACTGTTTTGTTTTTTTTTGGTCAAACTGTACAGTTTTTTTATTTATTTTTGTCTGTTGTGCTCAGTGTTTCCAACTTGGCATAGTATAAGTGTTTGTTACGTTACTTCCATGCTGCCTAAGGCCACAAATACTTTTTTTAAATGAAACAAGGAAAAGTACCTTTGAGGCTTTGAGTTTTACTTGTTTGCATGCAGATATTTGTATACAGTTAGTTACAAAGCCCCAAGTTCCTGTAAAAAGTTTTACTTTCTTAAACACATTTCCCTTTACAGTATCTACATCACTGTGTTGCACATCTGTACCATGTTTGTTCAGCAATCACTTTTGCTCACCTGCCTTATATTTGGTCATTTAAAGCTGCCTTTAATTGATCAGTATAAGAAAGTATTAATTTAGTAATTATTTAAGACATCTAGGAATGTTTTGACCTCAACAGGCTGAACAGATTTATCAAAGGCCTTTTATATTTGACAGCTAATTTGGTTTTATTTGGCACCTTTTGTTTTAAATTTGTTACTTCATGTTTTTTCCCTTAAAATCTGATTACATTAACTCATATCCATTCAATGCACACACAAAATAAATAAATACACAATTATGCCTAAAAAGGAGCAGCTTAATGTAGTAAAAGTGGCCACTTCACAAGTTTTTAAACTACTCAAGAACTTTACTAAAAAGCAAAAAAAAACAACTTACGTCATCTTGTTACTCCAGTTAAAATGTAACTTTGTTTCTTGAAGCTGAAGTTGTTTAAAGCATTCAAAGATCTGATAACAGTTTAAAAGCTTCCCACGGACCCCGCTTGAAAAGACTTGCTGGGGTCGTGTTTGTTAATGACTGCTCATGGGTTAATGTGCAGGCCATGATGAGGGTGGAGCTGCTGTATGGGATGGCAGGACTGGTGGGCAGTCTGGTGTCCGGTCATCTGTTCCTGATCTACAGCCCCAGTTTGCGTCACGGAACCATCCTGCTGATTGTGAGCACGCTGCTGCACCTGCTCTGCCTCATCATTTCCATCATCCTGCTGCAGGTCAGCGTGACCTTACAGAAAGAATCTAATTGGTTGCATTTATCAGTGGTACAGCAGCCGCTTCGAATGTTTTCAGTCCATTAAATGGACGTTGTTAGTTATCATTCCCATAGGTTCCTTAAGACTGTCCCTCCTGTACCTCCTAGTAGGCTTAAATGTACATTATGGCTGATAATACGCAGCTTCGGCCATGTAACCGGAAGCTTTTTTTCTTGGTTAGCTTTATGTAAAAATCTTTCTTTACAATTTGCACACTACTTTTTAAGCAGGATATCAAGGATTTACTTCAAATGAATTCCACATTTAACAGTCATAAGTAGGCCTGTCGCGATAAACAATAAATCAATTAATCGCATGATAAATGAAAATTATTGACCTCATTTTCATTTATTGGCTTTATCGTTTCTTCGTGTCGTTCTCTTTCTACTGGACACTGGATGACAAAAAGCTAAAGTCCGGTGCTCTTCACTCACCCCTCCCTTTCTCTTTTCCCTTTAAAATCTGTTTTAACAATCTAAAATTGCGTTTTTGGATCGTTAAAAGCAGCTAAGCCGAGAAGCTAAGTTTTGAGCTAAGCTAACAGGCCGACCTCAGGGGAAAAAAGCTCCAAAATTCATGGTTGAAATTCGTGCCTTCATCTAAAAAGTTGTTTTTCTCTGCAAAAAGAAGCTGAGAACTTGTTTTGTGTGACAAATGCTATGCTAAAGAGCTCAAACCACACCGAGCGTCCACCATTTTGAAAACCAAAAAACAGGAAGGAGAGACAGCCCATGTCACGTCAAGGAGCCTCCCTCCCATTTTTCTTAAAGAGACACGCTGCTCGCTCCCTCACTATCCATCCCTCGGTTCAAACAGTCTTATACTGCCATCCAGTGGTCCAAAAAGTACTACACACAAAAATTAATAAACATTTCTTCTTAAATTTCAAACAATATTATAGTTTATCGCAATAATTTCCGAGACAATTAATCGGCCAGCAAAATTTGTTATTGTGACAGGTCTAGTCATAAGGCTATAATTCGGTATCTAAAAAGAGCTCACTTAATAGAGGATATAACCTAACCCTAACCATATAACTCTGTGATAACAACCTACTGGGCCCCCTAGGAGGTACAGGAAGGACAGTCTGAAGGCAACCTATGGGGATGATAGCAAGTAATGGCCATTTAATGGGCTGATAACATTTAAAGCGGGTGGTATAGCTCTAAATACTTCTTTTAATACCTTGATTTTTCCACTTTAAATCAAGGTGAAAGAAGTGTGCAGGGAGGACCAGGAGGAGAACTATCACCTCCTCCATCATGCCTCCAGGAATGCCCACGTTCCCGAGGCTGCTGCTGGGATTAACAAGGTGAACGTGGCGCTGCTGTTTGTGGCAGCTTTCCTGTATGACTTCGCTGTGGGTGGAGGTGTGGAAGTACTGGGTTCGTTTGTGCTCAAATCGCCTCTCAGCTGGACCGCCACACAGGTAGAACCACTTTCTTCTCATGCATTTGTTAGTGTATTTAGAATTTTTTGCTCCTTGCATGGTGAAATAAACTCTTATTATCCTAATAAAAACTTGTATAGAATTAGTAGTTTGTAATCAAATTGTAGTTTTATAAATACCAGATTACATTCTTTCACGTTCTGTTTCCGTTTTCCTGTCACTGTTCTTTTTTTTTCTCTTCTTCTTGCTTCAGGTGGGTTATGGGAACGCAGCAGGCTGTATTATTTTCCTCACCAGTTACCTCGGTGTCGCCGTGTTCCGGCGATGGGTCAGCGATGAAACCTTGATCCTAATCGGCATGCTGTCGTTTGCTTCTGGCATCTACTTCATGACCTTTGCCACAACAACCGCCATCTTCTATGCCGGTAAGAACAAGTGGAAATTTCACTTGTCCCCATGAGGCCTGAAGTTTGCACGTAAAATATGGTACGATTGGTAAAAAGTTACTTATTAGAGTTTCGGTGTTAAAAGTCAGTCTGAGCAAACATTCTGCCTTCTAACAAATCGAGGTCATTGGCACAAATCATACACAACAGAGGGAGAAGGAAGAGAAACAGGGAACAAACCAAGAGCCATAAAGTCTTACTCCTCTTAGTTTTTCCATATTTAACTTGCAAGTTAAATATTTAGTTTGGAACTATGACTTTTATAAATGTATGAATAACATAGTGAAAATATGACTTTGGAAAAAAAAACTTTTTTTTTTCTTACGAAAAGCTAAATAAACCAAAAATATTGCTGTTAATTTTGACTGTGTAACTTTACAAACGGCACCCCATACAGATACGTTGTAAGCATACACTGCAAGACTGCAGGAGACGTGGAAGCAGGGTGAGTGTCAGCAGCTTCTGATGTTGTCAATTCATTAAATGGTCCATTGTTAGTTGTTATCATCCCCAATAGTTAGCATTCAGACTGTCCCACCTACATCCTAGTAGGTTTAAAGGAACGTTACTATCGCTGATAATATGCAGCGTCACACGTGGGTTAACCAGAAAGTGGATTTTTTTTTCAGCTTATGTAATCCTTTTCCTAAACCTAACCCGAGAACTTTTACTCTGAACTTAACCATGTGAGACTATTATTAGTGCTAATAATGTAGCCTATTATCAGTGCTAACAACGTTCTTTTAAACCCACTAGGAGGGACAGTCTGACTGCTACATATGGAGATGATAACAACTAATAATGGCCATTTAATGGCTGATAACATTCAAAGCGGGTGTGAGTACATGGACGGGGGCTAATGAGCTGAGTGAATATACCTGGGCATAATAACTGGGAGCAGAAAAGAGAAAAACTGTGAGAAAAAAAAGTGGAAAACGGAGCTAAAACTGAAACACCGATAAAAAAAATAAAAACAAAAAGCAAAAGAAATGCATCCAAAAATTTACCAAATACTCACAGAACTGTCAGTTGGTTTATTCCTTCTAAAGTGTCATCAAAGTGACTGCTCATAAAATACATTTCTTTTACTAACCCAACAGCTCTACATCAAATATAATTATCAGTTGTAATTGATTGTTATATGTAACTTTGTCTGTTTTTGATGTTAACAATCAAACTACCTCTGAACCCCAAACTATGCAATATGAGATGAAAATGCCAAACTAGTTATAATGAACTGTTTAGTAGTGGTTGGGCACTGGAGGAGGTGTAAATATGTAAAAATAAATATAATAATAATTGATGCAGTTTTGTTCCTGCAGCCCGTTCGTTGAACCTGTTTGCTCTCATCCCGATGCCAACGATCAGATCTCTGGTCTCCCAGCTGGTTCCTGCATCCTCGTGTGGTAAGAGCTGTGTTTACCTGTCAACACACGCTACTGATGCCTTCAACTCACTGTTCCTATTAATATATTGTGGAAATTAGATGCACGTCTTCAGGATTCACTTTTAATTACCTTGTATGTAAAAGTTCACAGCTTGCAGCTTTCAAAAGCCAGTTTCTGATGACTGAAATTTAAGACAAGTCACTCCGACTACAGACAGAAGGTAAACCGATGATTTGAGGACATTTAAATCAAGCTGCCTGTCTATTTGAGTCGTCTTGTTTACAGTACAGTTAGTGTTCGGAGCTGATTATACAGCAGACACGAGATTTCTTCCAGGAAACCAACTAAACCTGTTCACCCAGTCACGCTCCTTCATACCAAACTGAGGATGCATTATGAAATAATAAACAAATAAAACTCTTGCATGAGCTTTTAGCACTCGAGTATGTGTAAAAGATGACTCTCAGCTGCTAGCACACCAAACTGTAGCTCAACATCTGTAAAATTTACTGACTGATGACCACTTTTGTGCTGGTTAAGAGTAGTTAAAGTGCACCAAATGATTACTTTCTAAGAATTCCATAAAAATCCAATGAGTGGTTCGTGAGCTATTTTACTAACAGACAAAGGAAAACACCAACACAGGTGATAACTTGTCTTACATGGTGGTGGGCAATACAACATGGCAAATATCCAGTGTTAGTTAAAAAAATGCAACTTAAATGGCAACATTGAACTGTTGTTGCTGTAGTATAATCAACGCAGTAATATTTTAGTAACTAAATAGCTGAAACTATATTACACCATACAATAAAATACACATACATAGTAATTAAAATACGGAGGTAATCTGCTCTAATAGTGTAAATGTTTATGAAGCGTTCACAGTGATCCATTTTTCTTCTGTAAGTTTTCCGGCATCTTTCTCGTTCCACAATTTTGTGCTATTTCAACAAATCAGAAATCAGAACATGCAGCTCTTTCAGGACAATCCTGCTATGACCTTTGGTATTGGTGCAGCTTTAGCTTTTTGAAATATTTAGCCTGTTCTGCCACTTTTTTCCTCATAGAAAATTAATTGAGCTCATTTTACATCCTTCACATCTTTAGATCTGTTTACAATCTTTCACTGCTCCTTTCACATTTTGTTCTGCTTCAGCTTCTTTCGGCTTCCTTGTGCAAGTTTAAACTTTTTTCCAGCTCTTTTCAGCTTTGTGCTCCTTTCTGATTATTTCTGCTAACTATAACATTTGTGTGCTTCTAAATGTTTCTGTTAATTTCAGCTCGTTATGCTCCTTTCAGTTTATTTCTGTAAGTTTAAACTTTTTCTGCAACTTCAGCTACTATTTAGCTGTTTTTATGCCAATTTTAGGCATTTCTGCTAATTCCACATGTTTTGCACTCATTTAAACTTTTTTCAGTCTAATTCAGCAAAAATATGCTCTCACCACTTCTGTCTGATAACTTAAGCTTATTTCTGATTTTTAGTTACTTTTCAGCTGTTTGTTTTTTGTTGTTGCTAATTTTCACTTTTCAGATAATTTCCACTTTTTGTGCTAATTTAAGCTTGTTCTACCTTTTAAGCTACTTTTTTTTTTTTTTTTTTAGCATTTTTAGGTAATTTTAGTTGTTTTCAGATAAATTCAAGTTTTTTGTGGTAATTTCTGCTATGTTTATCCTAATCAACTTTTTTGCATTATTTCAGCTTGTTGTGCTCCTTTTAGCTCATTTCTGCTAGTTTCACTTTCATTTCAGCCTCTATTTAGCTGCTTAGATGAGGGACAGGGGACAAGACGGCCCCCCAGAAACCATCTTAGCCCCAGCAAACTGGTTGGTCCACTTAAGGAGTTTACTGCTTGGTGGGACAACAGTTTACTGGAACTCCTCAGACTGATGAAGCCCTCCGGATAGAGGGCGAAACGTCTCTATTGTAGCATGTCAGGACAGCTTTGCTGTGGACACACTACTAATTAATTATTCTTAAAGCTAGTTCAAGCACAAAGAATATTAATTGTTTAATTACAACAGATTCTTTTCTTTTTCGAGTTAAATTTCTTCCATGTGACCGAGATAACTGTGAGTGGGTTGTTTAATCAGTGACATGAGACGCCATTTTATCTTTGACCCATCAGAATAAATGCAGTGATTTAGTTAACAGAATCAAAATTTAACATCAAAACATGTTAAACACATTGATTTGCTGATCTGTTTCTGATTAATAAACTTGGCACGCTTTACTAACAAGACAACAGAACATTACTGATCGAGACTGATTCATCTCTGAAGGCATCTAGTTTGATTTACTGGCGAACAGAGAAGTTTAAGAGAGGAGGAATAGATTTAAGGAGTAAGTTTTAGATGGATGAAAGGTATGTGTTGAACCAGAACATTGCACCCTTCCTCCGACATCCAGCTCAGCCCTCCGGTACACTTCAGGGCGTCAACGGCTTGTTACCTGAGATGGTGGATACCTCCACTCCGGAACAGAAGTCCAATGGTACGCTCCCTTTTCAGCGTCTCGGGTTAGAGTAGCTGGGGGTCATCAGAAATCGTGACGAAGTACTCGGTTCAACCAAATAAGCTTCCTTAGAAGTTGAGCTTTTAATGCTCGGGTTGAGTCGTTGTGACTACGCTGGACTGGAGAGACCTTTGGCACATGGTCAAATCCATCCGCTACTTAGTTGAGTCTCATCTTCGACTGAAAGTTCCAGCAAGACTGCAAGACTAAGACTCGTGAAGACTAAGACTTCGGAGAAGACTAAGACTCGTGAAGACCAAGACTTAAGACTGAATAGTTCCAAGAAGTGTTGCCTTTTAAAGGGGTATCCACTTCCTGTTACGTGGTACTTCCTGGTTGGTTGAAACAACCAGCAGGGGTGTAGTTCTAGTGATGTCAGAGGGTTACTAGAAGTCAGGAGACAGCAGGAATGTTTAAGAACGGTTAGTACAGACAGAGAAATGTTTTTAAGAAATGAGAGGAAGCAGGTGCCAGCAGCTCTTATTTACTGTCTGTGAGTTTTAAAAACAAGACACTTCGTCCTCATAACTTGTCTCTGACTTTCGACCGACATCACTACTCCTCATTCAGACAGAAGACTAAATGCACACTTACTTTGTAAATAGACATTTAACTGTATTATCAAAGTCTAATGAGGTTTAAAAATCATTAATACTGTTTCACAGTTGATTTAAATGAGTGGTTCACTTCAACATTTAGAAATGGTATGAACTAAACACACTTTTGATTATCAAGATATTGTAAAATATTAATGATAATGTAAAAATAAGAGTGTTCTTTCAATTGATGAATTCAGGATACAATTAAATAGTCTCTTGATGAGATAATTTGTATTTCTGGATTCAAATCAATGAAATAATAGTTCCTGTCCCCTGAAGGTCTTCAGAGACAGATTGTTGTCGGAGAGTTCACTACACTATTAAAAAAAGAAATTGTCCAGATGACCAGAGTATTATTGAATTTAGCTGTTTTATGCTAATTTTAGCTTTTTCATCTAATTCCAAATTCCACACTCATTTCAGCTCTTTCTGCTACTTTTTATGCTACTTTAAAGCTGTATTTTGCCAATTTCAGCTTTTTTTTAGCTACTTTCATAAATTATGCGCTAATTTCTGCTAATTTAAACCTAATTCAGCAAAGTTCTGTTTTCTTCTGCTAATTTAGGCTTGTTCTTCCTTTTCAGCTAAAATTCAGCATGTTTTAGCTCATTTCAGCTGTTTTTCAGCAATATGCTTTCACATTGCAATTTCGCAGGAAATGCAATCTCTCTAGTTTTGACCTACAATTGATAAAATAGATTGTGATGTCTTTGGACTGCGTTCTGTGCTCTTGGTTGTCCTTCAGGCATGATGCTCACCTTACTGCAGATAACTCTGAAGTTTGCCAGCCTGTCCTACATCCCTGCTTTCACCAAGATCTACCAGGACACTCTGGACTGGCTGCCAGGCTTCGTCTTTCTACTTTCCAGCATCTTCACAGTACTCGCCATGATACCAGTCAGGTACTGTCAACAGATTACGTCAGGTTTATTTTAAAATCTTCTCATTTTCTTAACATTTCCTCTTCCCTCCCTCCAGCATCGTCGGCTGCAGAACTGCTAAGAGGCAACTCTACATGAGGATTCAGGGCGACTGAAGCGGCAGCCGTGACGAGAAAAACGGGAACTGAGACTTGAAGTGGTCATAAAGAGAACTTCCTCCTTTTTGTCAAAGCTGCAGAGACGGGCTGCTGGACCTGTTATGGTATAAATGCAAACCATTTTTTTTAGTCTATGAGCAGCTTTAAAGAATCACTTCTGAACTAATGGATTGCATCAGCCAGTTGAATTCTGCAGACTGTGTACAAAAAAACTGAAAAACAAAGAAGTGATTTTTGAAAACACCCTCTGAGATTTCAACATGTCGGAGATTTATCAGTGACTGAGTCAGAGAGGAAACACCCTGCAGTGGAGGTCACTGCGTTCACAGGAGGAGGAATATATATTTTTTTTAATCTTTAATAATTTAATTAGCTGTTTTGGTGAAGTTTATCTGGTTAACTCTTAATACTCTGGTTTTCAGCCATAAGCAAATAATTTTTCACCATGAGTACCGTATTTTTTGGTCTATAAGGCGCACTTAAAATCCTTTAATTTTCTAAAAAATTGACAACGGGCCTTATAATCTGGTGCACCTTATATATATATATATATAGTATATATACTTCTAGTTGTGCTTATTGACCTCGAACCGATTTTACGTGGTACATGGCACTCAAAAATCTGTCAAAATAAACTTGTTTCGCTTAATGCGCCTTATAGTCTGAAAAATACGGTAGTTGAAAGGCTTGAAAGCAGAATTGTCAAAAGAGTTAAGTTGGGATACAAACATTTTAATATATACATTTTTAGAAAAGAGATGAATTAATGTTAATTTCGGTTTGTTTGGGCTTGGAATCACTTTTCTAATGAAGTAGATTTTTTAAGCAGATGCTTGCAGTGAAGTAAGTTTTCACTGGTTCACCCAAACAAATCCAACTTGGTGTTTTCATGTTGGAAAAGGATTTGAAAGGATTTTCAGATGTAATATGAGTTTATCATAGTCTTCAAATTATTTTCAAACCAACTTTCCTTAGAGTTTACATTTGCTGTTTGTATAAACTGATGCAAACATGTATTTTGTTACGATCCAGTAAATCTGCAGGTCTAGCTCACAGGAAAAAATGGTTTAAAAAATATTTTTATACAAGTATTTTTCATAATTGTCAGGATTTGTTACGGTTTTTGTTCACTTGGGTTCCTGTTACCTTTTAATCAGGGATGGCTGCACTTTGCACATAATTTGAAAGATAATATACACACTTTAAGATGTGCCCTCACTTTGACTTGAAATATTAAACTGTCCACGTTCTGATTATTTATTTTAATCTGATACACACATGTTTAATAATTGTATTGCAGCACTTTAAAGTATTGACTGGATTTAAAGGGAATAAAATGTAAAAGTACTTTTTTTTTTAACACAGATAAACCTGGTAGGTTATGGATACCTACTATATATATATATATATATATATATATATAGAATAAAGTGATTTGTTACCCTGTAGTACAAGATAAGTATCTGATCCCAACTGGTTCTTGCTACAAAAGGCTTGATCTTTGTTTGTGACATAACATATATTGGTGTAAACATTTTTATTTGTAAAATAAATAAGCTTAGAGGATTCATAACCACACTTTTGATTTTTCACTACAAACTTGTTTTTGAACTCTTGAATTGGCAAATAAAATTAAAAGTTCTAGAAGCAAACAAGTAAATAAACCAATGCAAAAAAAAAAATGTATCAAACTCCTTTATTCTCTTTATTATTGGTCCAGTATATTCAAAAAAAAAGAAAATGTGGTCAAGATCAGTATACAAGCTTATTTATAATTACAACAAATTGTTAACATTCAAATGTACAATATGGAACGTAAACATTACACACTGGGGAGGGCAAAAAAAAACGAAACTCAAGATTCACACGTTCATTGGACTTCCATAAACATTAAACTTATTTGTCCCGTGCTGAAAATCCGATTTTTTCCTCTCGTGTGAAGCTACTTAGGAAGGAAAAGATGGTCAACGTTTGGCTTAGAAACCTTTGCACCCCCCCCCCCCCCCCCAGCTTAAAGGCTGCCGACCTTCCTGAAGCGATTCCCCCTGATTCACTTTGCTGATGACACCGTTTTATTTCTTAGTGTTCCAAACAAAAACGCAAAACGTGCCTTCGCTAATCAGACAGCTTGGCCATTTATTGTAAGCAAGTGAAAGAAATTTACTGAAGTTTCAGATACTGGAGCTACATGTGTAGTGCAAAAAACAACCGGCACACGGTATAGAACGGGCATTATATGGTGGAAACTATTCAGGAGTACATAGAACACTAAACCGAGGTCCTGTTCATGTTGCAACGCATTTAGTTTAGTTTCCTTACAATGTTTATACTGTTACTGCACATGTGCAGTCCCTTTAATTATTCGATTGTGGACAAAACCCCCAACAATGCACTTCTAAATGTTCTTTTTTATATTAAGAAAAAAAACCAACTTGCCTAGTAAATTGTGCCAAAATGTGTTACTTCGTTTACACCAAACTGAGCTCTACAGATGCACAAGGAAGGTTTTTTTTTGTGTGGTTTTTAATTTAGCAATTTAAACATACACACCTAACCAGTTTCATTATTGGGGTTTGTGTTAGCTCAATAGTACAGAAGAGGATTAGGGCCACGCAGGCAATTTTTCCCCCTTAATTCTGAGAAAAAAGTCAGAATTCTGACATTAAAGTCAGAATTCATCTATCTAATTCTGACTTTTCCTCAGAATTCTGACTTTAATCTCAGAATTAAGGGAAAAAAGTTTTTTTGCACTGTGGCCCTAATCCTCATCCGCACAATAGAAACAAGTAGGGCACAGACTGGAAACCATTTCGGCACCACTTGTCGTCCACCAACATGTCTGTTTTGACCCCTGAAGAAAATAACACTGATGAAGGATTGAAAACTTGGACCCAAAGTGATTTTTACAGAAGTACAAAGAAGTAAATATCCACCCCTGAATCTTTTTATAGTGTTTATGAACATTCGGCTATCTGCTCAACCAAATAAAGCTCGTTTTGTTTTTAGCATCAGTGCATCTGTAGAAGCTCTATTTTAGCTGCCTCTAGTTTCGATCACAGCTACCTAGACATCTTTTCTCCATCTGATTTCAACATGGCCAAAGACTACTAGCAGTAAGATTAAACAGAAGGTGCTTCAATGTTTTAAAGCTCGTGAAATACAAAAAAAGGTGTGCACTTCCAAACGATGGCAGAGAAAATCCTGAAAGCAGCCAACGAGCGGCTCGCAGACAATAAATCTTTTCTTACATTTGGCTGTGCAAAAGTCAAGCCTATAATGTGGAATTGGTTTATAAAACTATACTTGTTGCATTCAAATTAACCAATTGAAATAATAATAAATTAAAAAACACCTTGAAACCGTACCAAAAAGATTTGTGAAACGGTGTTGATGCTACAAAGTAGTTGTGCCAAAAAAGAACCAGAGTTAAGTGTAAATAATAAAAGAGCCACGCCACAGAACTGAACTCAATGCTCACGTTTTGCCACTTTGTCAGGAAATTCAGCTGAGGTGGAAAAAAAAAAAACTAAATCTCACCATGTTCCTTGAGACCATTAAGAAAATAATACATTTAACATAAATAAATGCAGTAAATGTGTGTTTTTCCCCCAAATTGGCAACAAAAATCATAAAAACAAAGGGAAAAAACAAACTGGTTTTTATGTTCTGCAGCTCTGCCACCAGTTTAAAGTGTTTAAGTCACAGCTCTGCAGACGAAGGCAGAACACTGAGCGGGCTGAACTGGACTTTACTGCAGATTCTGACTTTTATTTCATTCTAAACCGTTCAAATAAAGTGAAGTGATTAAAGGCAGGATTGCCATATCTCTCATTTATTATTTGCAATAAAGAAAAAAGACTTTTCTCCAAACTTATTTTCTCTCCTGCATTTATGGTTTTTGCTCTTCTGATATGAGATTTACTCAGTAATGTTTAGAACAGTCACCACTGTAGGACAGATATATTTTAAGCTTTAATTTATATAAGAAAGCAAAAAAAAATTATTTTAGGGCATTTCCTACTTTAACATTCCCAGCTGAGGTAATTGCTTGAACACAAGAGGTGAAATCCCAACACAATAGCTATTAATATTATTTTAAAAAGGAACAGACATGAAAATTATGAAGAAAAAAAAAGAGCTTCGCCACAAGATGGAGATATTGCTCTTTATTTTCCCAAAAACAAACTAACACTTAACTCCATATTTGAACTCTGCTTTTAACAATTAACTCGTCTCCTTGCCGGTTTTTTTAATAATTCTTGAAAGTTTTTCAACCGTTTGTAAAATGCTGATCCACTTCTATAGACGTTTAAAAAAAAAAAAAAAAAAGGCAGATTTCTGCAGCGAATCATTGAACTCGGTGTGAAAACAGAGAAGACTCAAAGTGCTTCTCTCCAAGACTGTGGTCAAATTAACAAAACTTGTTAATTGGAAATTTGAAGTAGAAAAATTTCATAGAAAAAAAAAAAGAACAAAAACAAAGATCTGTACATAAGATTCTTTTCTTTCCCAGCTGTCTTTAAACACACCACTTGTTACCTCCTGCAGCGAAATCTGCACGAGCGACGACTCCTCTCCGTACGAGCACCTCGCAGGAGAGCAGGAGAGAGTCCAGCAGTTAAAACCTGCCGCCTGCTTGGTCTTTTTCCTTGGCGTGAAAGTGTCGTACCGAGACGGTGAGCGGATGGGCTGAAATGCAAGCAACGTGTTTCAGTTCGTCTCACTCCCTTTGTCCTCAGTCTGTTTGTCCTGGAGGACCGTTATGAGAGACTCCCAAGCTGCCTGGCACTGCAGAGGACAGAAACAAATAAAGATCAATGAAAACATAAGCAGGTGAGAACTTGTTGTGCTGCTTCATGCTTGATTGTTCTATCGACGAACTGCCAAGATAAATCTGAAAATAAAATTTCATTATTCAGTCGTATTTAATGAACGCGTTTCAGAGAAATAATGGCCTCAAAAGACAGAACATCCGAGCTCAGCTAGAGTTCTTTGGATCTGGTTCCAAAACAAGAGACTGCTACAGTTTGCTAAATTATTTCCACTTACAGTAATTTTTGCTGTATAAGTCACATTTTTTGCATAAATTAGCACGCCTGTGACTTCTACAACGAAGCAACATATTTATGTTTTTCCCCCATATTTAGAAACCAATTTTCGACTGAGATCTGACAATTTCATTTATTCAGACATGGAAAATATTGAACACCACCATTTTCAGCCACTAGAGGGCCCTCGACTAATATGGCAAGCCAAGCGTCTCATTAATAGGTAAGAAGTGGCCATTACTGAGACACTTGGCTTGCCATACATGCCACCTTCGTCACGCTCCGAAACTCCTGGAGAAAACGTCAAATCAGCTGCATTTCGCCGCGCTGCCAAGGCGAAATGCAGCTGATTGGATAATTAAAGTGCATTTATTAAGGAAAAGTTCAATTGTGACGCACCTTTACTATAATATCGAGCAAACAAATAATTGTTTTTAAATGGTTATCTTGTTAAATTCAGAAGAAATGCACAGTAAAGCGTTCCTCTGCGTGCTCCCGCAGCTGCGAATCGGCTTTTGAAATGCAGCTTGTTTGATCAATATAGCGCATTTATTAAGCAAAAGTTCAACTGAGACACACTTTAATTATAATTTCCCGTGCATGCTCCCACGACCGCCATTTGGCAGCCAATAGATATTTGGCACAACCCCGGTCCACATTTCCAGGTTGTCAGCGATGACGCATAATAGATGCGACGTGTACGGCAGCATGTACGATACATGTTACTCACGTGTGCTAAAACTTTATACTGAAACATTTTTAGAGGGAAAAAATCAGAACAATTTAATTATAATAATAATAATAGATAACCTTTTATAGTAGGGCATTAGTTGACAGAACATTTTGCTCAGGTTCTACAAGCTAACGTAGTTTCCTGCTTAGAAGAATCATTATTGTTAGCATTATTAGACAGAAGTAAAAGTGGCGTACACCTTTGAGGTAATTACTTTAATAAAATTTGTAAGACGTTTGTTTTCCCAATAACACTTTTCTTTTATGTAGAGGGACATTTTTATTTTTTCCCTGCATTTATTTAGTGGAAGCAGCTGATGTTTAAGCTGATCATTAACGGTGAAGCTGTTAAGGTGGTGCATCAAAATAAATATCTGGGAACTGTTCTCGATGACGGACCTTTGATGCACATGTGAACTCACTTTGTTAAAAAGCTCATCAGAGAATGTGTTTTTATCGGAAGCTCTGTGGGTTTAATGTTGATTCGACTTTTACGAGAATGCTTTATCGTCTCTCTTAACTTTCACCTTCATCTGCTGGTTTGAACTTTTGACATGTAAAAACCAGGAACAAACTCTCGGGGATTGTCAGGATGTGCAGCAAAACCTCTGGCATTGCCCTGCAGAACCTCACTGACCTGCACAAGGCGAGATCAGTGAATAAAGCCAGGCTGATTCTGGCAGATCCTGATCACCCACTCCATGTTGAGTCCAGGTCGCTTCCATCTGGACGCAGGTATCTGCTGCCCAGATGTACAACAAAAAGACTAAAGACTCATTTATCCCTGTAGTGATCAGGCTCCTCAACAAACAGTGATGATTTCTGCACTGTTGCTTTAATGTCTCAATGTCTTATGGATGTTTTATGTGCCTGACTGTGAAATAAATTCCCCCTTGGGGATAATAAAGATTCTTGAACTTGATGCGATACAAGTTGAGATTGTTATCATTACATCTCTGAACAACAGCCTGCGTACCTTTTCATAATAGTTGATATTTTTGTCAGCCATGCTAGTGAGCAGCTGTTTGAAGTCTTGTCTCTTGTTCCTCTGCCAGCGCTCCCAGTCTGCCTTGAGGTCAGCGTTGAAACACTCCAGTTTGTCCTGGCATCTCTCTACTTCTACTGGAATCTACAGCGAGACAGAGAACACTACAGCTACAGGGGACTGGCTACATTTAGGCAGGTGTGAGTCTGAATTACAGGGCTCTGTGTGAAAGAGGAATTTTGGAAAAGAGGATAATTGCAAGAGACATGCATTTATGGGATGTAAACAGATAAATATATAGAACAAACTTTTTATTTTAGTCAAGTATTTTTAAGAAAAATTTTCTTATGACTTCTTGGAAATAAAAAGCTGAAATAATATCTTAAGCCTTTGACACAGGAATGACAGCAGATACAAAAATCAAATTAAAAAAGGAAGGATGTTGCTTACGGGGGTTTGATCTTCTTGTTTGTGCAATACGGCTGCTTCAAGCCGGCCCTCAAACTCTGCTTGACTCTGATCTCGCTTCCTCAAAACGTTCTGAAATCAGACAGAAAACGTTCACGTTAACGCCAGAAGTAGCTGCTAAGGAACACGTGAAAAAAAGGTTGCACAAAGAAAGATGCTGAATCATGAGCTTGGTGAGGACATGATGCATGCAAAATCTCTAAAAGGCACTTCCTTAAAAATTATGCTGAACGTGTGCAGAAGGACAAGCAAAAATAATCTGCAATTGCCGTTTTGTCACTTCTGGTAATACTGCGGTATGCATGTATTTACATGTGATTCTGCCACAAAATGTAAACAATACTGCACAAACAGCTGGTCAACAATTATTGTTTTCATGTTTACCTTCATGGACTCGATGTAAAGAACATATTCTCTAAGAATAGGCAGGAAGTCCTGGCTCATGTTCTCACTTATGTCCTCCATAGCGCCACAGCATGTCGTGATGCTGCCAGCCACGCCCTCCAGGGGGCGCTGCAGCTGCTCCTCTGACCCCGCCCAGCTGGAGTAAACGGCTCCGTACTCCCGGAGCTCTGTTAGGTACTCTAATAAAGGGCAGGGTGAAAGAACAGAGAAAACTGAGCAAGAAAAGCAAATCAAACTAAATTTCACCACGAACGGCACAAAGAGATGGGAGTTAAGTGTCTGGAACGCACTTTGTGTCAGCTCATTCAATATTTAGAGCCAACAGAGTTCCAATCTTATCTTTATCATTGGACTGAGGCTGCTTCTGACTTGTCAATAGCCTCAACAGATGGTCACAAGGAGCGTTTCACACGACACGTATTTACAGAAGCACTTGTCATGCACGAGTGGAGTTTGCACTTATCAACTACGCCTGAAGGTCTGAGCGATTGTTTTTTATACAAACGGCCACTAAAGTAAATACTGAACAAGAGCTCATCCATGCAACTTCACTAAAACATACTAAAGACTTCATTTAACTTGACAAAAGCTTATCAAAAATTACCGTATTTTTCGCCCTATACGTCACAATTTATTTTGCATAATTTGCATGCCCTGCAACTTATACACTGAAGCGACTTATTTATGGATTTTGTCCCATATTTATAAACCCATTTTTGGCTGAGATATGACCGATTTCATTCATTCTGACATTGAAAATATGGAACACTACCGTTTTCAGCCGCTAGATGGCACTCTAGTATGGCATGCTGTTGTGTCATGTAATAAGTAAAAGTGGCTATTAATGACAATTATCTTGCGATAGACTGCCACCTTCGTTCTGTTCACTGGCATATGGCAAAGTTACATATTTATGGATTTTTCCACTTTATTAAACATATTTCGACTGATGTGACTTATAGGGCGGAGCGATGTGTACAGGGGAAATTTTCCATTCAGACTTTATTTATTCAGGTTATTCCCACTGAGCCTCGGGGACTCATTTACAAGAGACCTGAAAAAATACGGTAGACAATTAAATTAGCATTGTAATTTCTCCTGTCACGTTATGTTTGTGTACATTTTCCAGCTCTTTCTATTTAAAATAGGTACATCCCTTTCCACGTTTACTTTAAAAAAAATAAAAAAAAGTTTTTTCTCCTTTGTGGTCTTCATTATTTAATATAAAAGCTGTAACCTGTAATTTGGAATTTTGTTATTATCCTCCGTTTCATCTTAATGTTAGGGATACCCGAGTGTCTTTTAGAAGCTGAGACTTGAAATATTTAGTTACATTATAATGTATGACCAGAAAAAGACAAAGTAAAAAAAAAAGAAAAAATTATTCAGGTGAAGGATTTTAATCAGATGATATTTACTTTTAAAAGTATGCAATCGATCATATTGCAGATATAATATTGCATATTACATATTTTGTAAATAATTTAAAAAAAAAAAGAATTATGACTGAAAATATAATTTTGGTTTAATGCCAGATTGAGATCAACATTTACTACTTCAGAACAAGAGTCGTACCAAGCACCAGTCAGCTCAGTACCTGACTGCTCTTTGAGGATCCTCTGAGCGATGCGATCGAGGGTTCCCAATTTTTGGCTGAAAGTCTCCAAGTACTCTCCCATGGCACAGAACTCAGCTGGCCGCGGCCGCAGCTTGTAGCCCCCGGCTACGTGCCTCACAGATTCGCCCACTTTGGTCAGCAGGGCCAGACCATGACGCTTGTTCAGGTCCTGCAGGAGTCCAAAGCCCAAAGCATCACTGAACAAGCACATACTACAATAATGAATAAGGACATTTCGAAACAATGGATCTCTCCCCATGTAAATTTAATCAATACCTCAATAACCAATATTACAAGCTTTATATTGTCTTATAGTTGCATGCTTTACAGTAACAACCCAATTACCTGAAGGTCAATACAGTCTCATTTTGCATTTCAAAATTCTACTTCATAAAACAACCAGACTACTTTCCTTTAATATCCTGATGCATGCTCAATAATCCAGGTAGAAAAATCCAAAAAAGTTCAATCTGGTCCTCTGGACATTCAAAAAAAACAAAAACAAAACAAAGCAAAAAAAATCTAGATAAGAGAGAGAGGAGAGTCTCCTCTCTCTCTTATCTAGATTTTTTTTGCTTTGTTTTGTTTTTGAATGTCCAGAGGACCAGATTGAACTTTTTTTGGATACTTTCCTTTAAGTTTGACTTTAGCTGATTTATTAGACTCTAGGTTTGTCAGCTGTCCCACCTTGGCAGTCAGGAAATCATGGAAATGTGGGTTAAAGGATAGGACAGGGTGGTCCGCAACCCGCTTCAGGAACTTGTCCAGAGCCTTCATCCTCGTCTCCACGAAGTCTTCTGAAAAACGATCCACCACGCCCTTCATCACAAACTTCTCAGGCAGTGGCTGGAGACGAGGAGGAGAAGAGGGCATAACTGAGGGGTGTCTTATTGGAGAAGCAGGACGAAGGACTGCATGTGGGGCTTACAGGGATGATGTGGGTGGGTTGGCTGTCTTCCAGCTTCGTCCTCAACCAGTCGAAGTCCTGGTAGCGCCGACGAACACAGTAATCCGGCAAGTTAAACTCTATTCGTGTTGTCTGGAAAAACAAAAACACTTTTTTTTTGGTCTTTGATTTTACATTCTCAGTCTTCTCAGATTTAGCTGCTTTTTTATTTTCACTTTGAAAGTGAACACTGCACAAGCTCTTGAGAAGTTTTTGTCACAAAGGTTCAGCACAGACACACAAACAGACACTCTTTGACTCTCTAGTGTTGAAAGCTCTCCTCCACATGGTCTCCATTAACACTTGGAGCTCATATTTGGCCGTGACATTAGTGGGCGGCCTTTGAACCTCAGCAGCACGATGCACTTGGCAACTGTCACCTTGATGCTACTGAAAGGCTACAGCCATATCTCTCTGGCTCATTACGCAACTAAAAGGCCTCAAATGTTTTGACTCTGTGGTTTTCGTGCTCTGTTAACCAGCAGCCTCAGCTGATGGAAGAAGATAAGAGCCCACAGGAGATAAGAGTTACTGGTTTTACTCTTTAAAATTTATTTGACTGTAAAACTAAACCCGTTTTCTTCAATTATTCTACACGTTTAGCGAATCAACCCAACACTTTACATGTTGGGTTGAATGTAACATAACCAAAAATGTAACCCTTTCATCGCCTGGCTTGTTATATCAGCAATGATCGTGCCATCACTCTCAAGGAAGGACAGCAGCTTCGCTTGAATCGCATGTTCTTTGGGTACAGGAAGTACATGAACAGGCCAAGACGTAGACATTTATTATTTTGTTCTTTCCAAAAGCTTTTACTGAGCTAAGAGCTGCAAGTAGAACATCATCTGTGACATCAGAAACACCACTTAAAACTATGGCATTAGCAAAAAGTAATTGACATCTTACACCCAGATTCAATCTCTACATTGTGTTAGCCCAGAGCAGAAAACACAACAAAAATAGTATAGCAACCTAATAGCCAAATATTGCGTTCAGCCCCAAACTGAATAAACTATACAAAATAATAATAATTACACAAAATAATCTAATTAGAATAAAACAAATCCCGGACGAGCCCCCCAAAATGTAGTTGTTTAAAACAGGTCTCTTTTGTAAATGAGTCCTTGTGATGCAATGAGACTAAGCTGTATAAATAAAGGTTGAATGAAAACTTTTCATTCTCATCAACAAGTTTCTGGTAAAATTCTGCTTAGAATTTGTGAAGCTGAACAAACTTTCTTTCCCTTGAGACACAGCTCTATAATTTAGTGTTGAAGTCAGGTCTTTGGGAAGGTCCTGGGTTGTTTTTGACTAGCCAAACAAATTTATTTTCATCTGAAGGTCACATTTTGGGTTTTTCTCAAAACCACTAGCAATAGGGGTTCCACCTTATGACACATTATTCACTGTTCATCTGCAGGATCCAGAGATCAGCATGTTGCTCTTTTTATAGCAATGCAGAATGGTCCAAATGTGCTTATAAATACACATTCAGTGAGGTTTTATAACATTTTAAAGCTATAATGCACCTTTATTGTCTTAACACAGTGCAGAATACACAAAAAAGACAATCAAACACCAAAAACAACAACTAGTATCTAACCTTGGTGGAGACTCTGTAGGTAATATAGGTCTCCATGGTGGACACGTGCTTCTTTGGATCGTCAACAGTGACAAAAAGGTCGCGGGTTTCTATGGGGTCTTGAGGGTCTGCTTCCAGGTCGCCATCCAGCTGCAGCCTGTTGAGCAGCTGTGACACAGGGGCAGGATTCGACATCTCAACCGGTGTGCCATTGCTCAGCCCCGGTTCTTGCTGGAAAAACACAAAATGCCATGGTGATGTCACGTTCACATGCTGCCACGAGGGCGAAACTGCAAACAAAGAGCTAGCCAGATAGATTGATGCTGATGAAGCTGTGTTTTGCCATCAGTAGAGTTATTGTTAGGACTGTGTGAGTGGAGCACCATACACTTCCAATGTCAACTTTCCATCTGAAAGACGGGATATTTTTCATCTTAATACACAAAAGCCAAGAGATGGTTATACCAATGTTGGGCTTAAATAGTCCAAACTGTGCCAACGAAGCTGCTGCTGAAAATACCAATTTAACTTGTGCAGATATCTTGATATATAAACTGTATACCAAGTGCAAAAACAACAACGATTAGAAAGTATATACAAAGTATATACAAGCTACTGCCAGTAGCTCATTACTGTCCCCATGGTAACCACACACCTGTGTCTGTCACTCCCTGAGAGCCAAATGAATGAGGTAGACAGAATCAGACTGAAAATTAAGCCTCAAACAAGCTGTGCAAAAACTACAAGTCAGATCTTTAAAACTCCTTAAAGTATGAGCAGTAGATGTCGAAAGTGAAGGGACTTTGAATTTTGGGGGAATTTCACAGAAAATCCTAAGTCCTGCAGAAATAAGAGGCACTCTGGGTGAAGGTGGGCCTGTCACGATAACAAATTTTGCTGGGCGATTGTCTCAGAAATTATTGCAAGAAACGATAATATTGTTTGAAATTTGACAATAATTAGAAATTAGTCAAATTGAAGAAGAAATGTTTGTTAATTTGTTTTCTATGTAGTACCTTTTTTCGACCACTGGATGGCAGTATAAGACTGTTTCAACCGAAGAATGGCTAGTGAGGGAGCGAGCAGCGTGTCTCTTAGAAAAATGGGAGACAGGCCCCTTGATGTGACATGGGCGGTCTCTTTTTGGTTCTCAAAATGGCCAAGGTTCGGTGTGGTTTGAGCTCTTTAGCATAGCATTTGTCACACAAAGCATTTAATTTATTTATTTTATTTTATTTAACAGTAAAGAAGTTCTCAGCTTCTTTTTGCAGAGAAAAACAACTTTTTGCACGAAGGCACAAGTTTCAACCGTGAATTTTTGGAGTTTCGACAAGACGGAGACACATTGAAACGTTGAACGATATTTCTACTGTAAAGTATTTCGGAGCTACAGAGCTCCTAAGAGGGTTGGGTATAGATTGCCTTTTTTATGTGCATTTCTTTTGCAAATTCTGTCCACGTTGTGCGAAATGTCACTACCAAAGGCCATGGCACAATATCTCAAATCGAGCCAGGCATTTTAGTGGATAATTTGCACGTTTTTCGAAGCTGTACGTCAAGGTACTTGATTAAATTACTTGATGAAAAGTTCTATCATTGCATTTTAAGTATGCAACTTTCCACTTTAGTCAGTGTACAAAGAATTGCTGCATCTGTCCCTATCTTAGTCCAGTGGTTTCTTTATCTGCACTTTTTGCTGCACACAACAAACACACACACACGCGCTGCTGACATAGTTGCTCTTTTTACACTTTGGTGTTAACCTCTGGTAATCACCGTGCAGGTAATTACATGACACTGTATCATTATATGACTGTGAATGAACAACCAGGTTAAAAAAAAAACAGCTGTGTTAAACACACAGTGAGAACAATAGAGAAAAGCAATACACTTTGATCTGTTCAAATAATTTAGTTTCAGCCTTTTCACAATATCAAGTCAAACTTTATTGATAATAAAGCACTTTTCACACAGCAAAGTGTAACAGTAAGTGTTGCGGTTGATAAAAATAATGACAGAACTAAATGCAGACACTTAAAAAGTCCATTATTCTTTCTTTTATTATTATTGCAACCCATGGACATGTCTTATTTTAGTGCTAAGGCTGAATTAGATTGTTCTACTTTGTGCTGGGATCACCAAAATAGCATGAACTGTTTCAAAAACAAGAATTGGAAAACTTTTATTCAGTTTAATCGAAATGCCAACACAAAATGACAGCCAGTGGTGCAATTTGCATGAAAAAAAAAATAAATAAACACCTGTTTTCTGAGCAAATGACTCTATAAATAAGTGCTGACATATTATTTCACTAGATTCAGGAGCATGGCTTCATGTCCTGTGGTATGGGATGGAAAACCAAAAGGACAATAACAGCAATATCACACACAGCATGCAACTTTAATGTTTCTCCAATTAGGTAATAATTAACTGCAGGACAAAATCAAAGCTCTACAGCTGTTGGATCAGGAAGAAGAAAAGCTTTATGGTCTACTTGCCTAGTCCATCTTGGTATAAAATCTAAATATAAGATTTTTTTTCTAGAATTGGTAATGTGCATTAGTAGATATTTTTAACATCAGTTTTCTAATGTGCTGCTGCTTTTTTTTTTGTACTACACCAGCAGTCCCCTAACCTTTAATTCGTAGCTACTGGTTTGGTTTATAAGCTCTGGTAATATTTTGAAGGGCTGAGCAGGAAGTGGATATTTATCCACCAACCTAACGGTTATAAAATGATAAAACAGGGCAGCGTTCCAGTCTGAAGGTTGAGTAAAGTTCGTTTACTTTTCGTTTGTAGTTAAACAGCACCTGTGTGTGAAGTCGCAGCACCTGCTTACCTTTTCCACGGCGACGCTGCTGCTGACGTCCGGCTCCTCCGCGGCGGACAGCGGGTGGAGGATCTCCGTGATGAGCTTCTGCCCCGAGCTGGCCAGGCCTCTCGGAGCGCTGACACTCATCCCTGCGGAAGGCGGGGGGACTTGGCCGCTTGTCCGGGTTGTTACCTGTCCGGGTTTTGTAGCAGCAAAGACGAGTTTTCGGGGTCAGGGGGGATATTTAATTCTCTTAAGGTTATGTTCTGGTGAGACGCTACAGCCGCTGGTTGTTCACAACTGTCAGCTGACCCATTTGCGCATCTCCGGAAGTTCATCAACAAGACCCCGGATGTAAACATAAGGACGGAATACAGTCTGAAGATCGTTTGTTGTAAAGATGAGTGACGTGTCAAGAAAAAAAAAAAAAAAAATTTAATTTATTTTTTTTTTTTTTTTTTTTACAGAAAACTTTATTTATCACGAACAAGTATGGCAATTCATAATAGTGTAAATCTAAAAAGGGCATAGCAGAGGCAGACTTATATATGGGAACATCAAAAGACAAACAAACAAAAAAATAAAATCTACATGCCTCTTTTATGATTGTCTATTGCTATTGTTGTTGTTGTTATCCACTGTTGTCATCATTCTTTGTTAAAATCAGGTCTCTCCTGTAAATGAGCCCTCGAGGCTCAATGGGATTAACCTGTATAAATAAAGGTTGAATGAATGGAGAGAAAAAAAATGATTAAAAGAATAATATGATAAAATAAAATTAAAAAAAACTACAACAAGGGAGTATATATTTTAGGATTAGGATTAGCATGCATTAGTGGGCAATTCCATTAACATTTCATACAGGTCTTCATATGTTTCAATATATTTCAGAGATTTCAAATATAATTGGAATTCAGATAAAAAAAAAAGTTAAAAACTGGGGATGATCTTAGCACTCGCTGTTTATGAATAAAGACTTTTGCCAGACAAAATATCACATTACAACCGAGTTCCGAGAACCAAGAAGAAAAAAAAAAGATTAAGCACCGTACGTTTGCAAGCACAAAAGTATGGAACACCAAAATGCTCAAAATTAAATAAAATAATAAAACATTACGAAATAAGAAAAATTTTCATTTTTATTCTTTCAGTTCATAAATGTGTTTTTCATGAAAGCTTATTGGCGTTTTTCATAACGGCTTATCTATCTCATAATGTTACTTTTCAGCAGAATGACTTCAGCTGTCAGTCAGCGTCAGTGGGTTGGAGCTTCACGCCCACTGGCTGATCCTTCACATCCATTAGTTTCCTGAACACCTGCTCACTGGTACAGCTAGTGTTAATCTTGTAAAATGCAAAGGACTAAAACAGCGAGTCCTCCCGTGCGTGCTCCCACGGCGTCAATCGATTGTTGGCAGTCCATCACTTGTTGTCACGACACCTGTATCTTCTAATAATGGATGTGAAGGCTCAGTCAGGCATCAAGGTCCAACCCACTGATGGTGATTGACAGCTGAAGTCATTCTGCTGAAAAGAGTCATTATAAAATAAATAAGCAGTCATGCAAAACACAGTCATGAAATAAATTAATAAAAATAGAAAATGTTCATCATAATGGGCTTAGTTACTTATTTCATAATGCTTTATTTATTTATTTAATTTTGAGCATTTTGGTGTTCCATACTTAACGTCTACAGGTGGAATAACTCGAACTTGTCCATCACACAATTTTTTAAATAATAGATCTCATCTCATGTATACTCATTAAAAACTTTGTGAAACATTAAAAAATGTATATAAAAACACCAGTTGAGTTAAGAATGCGTTAATTGTTTAAATAATGTGAAACGTAAATGTATGGATTGTTGTAGGGGCAGGGCAGCTGACTTGGGTCCCGAAAGTCCCAGGTTCGATCCCCAGTCATTGCACATCCCGTGGTGTCTCTGAGCAGCACACCGTATCCCCAAAATGCCCACTGCACTGATGGGTTGAATGTAGAGATCCAATTTATTATTATAAAGTGAGTTATTGCTAAAGACATTAATGTACTTTACCCGGTAAACACACCATTTGTATGAAAGCCCATTTCCGTCATGAAAGAAAAAAATACAAAGTAAAAGCCCAACAGGAAGTCATAATTTTGACTTTTTAAGTCATAATTATTAGAATAAAAGTCATAATTTCGAGTTTTAAAGTCATAACTAAGTCATATATGACTTTTATTCTCGTGATTATGACTTAGTCAAAATCATTACTTCATGTTGGGCTTTCATTTTTTTCTTTCATGGCGGAAATGGGCTGCCATACGTTTGTGATTTTTGTTCTGCAAGTGTTTTGTTTCTTTGTTTATTATTACTTGTGCGCATTTACTGATCTGGTCGTTAGCTTCCTGACAGATACATTGCACTACCAGCGCTGAGCTTTTTGAGGAACAAAAATAGCAGCAGAGTGAAACCTCTTCTTTTTACACCCATCTATAAATAAAAATGTCTACTAGTGAAGGCGACTGGAAATTAGCACAACAGGGGAATTTAGGGTTATTTTAAACACTCAGCTTGACTGAAATAAGAGCCTACGAACAAACATTGTCTTCTAGTTTTGTTCATCTTACACCTAACATTTACAGACGAGGAGTACTTTACAGCTGTTACCTGACCTGTCTGTGTTACAACCAGAAACACGTTTCAGCTCGACCCGGACATTCCCAACTTTTACTTTCATGGCTGCTAATCCTCCAGGACAAGGTAATGTTAAATATTTAGGACGAACACTTCCGTTTATGTATGTTCTTTGTTTTCAGGGGCGGAGCTACAAATTCTGAACCCCGGATTTAAGCCTTGGCCCCCTTTGGCTAAACGTTACAGCTTCCTAAAATATTAAATCATTATTAGTCTTAAAATTACAAAGAATTTAGATATTTTTATGTATTTTTTTTTAATAGTAGTAAAACCACTTGGAAAATAGGTATTTCACTTTCATTGAGTACTAATAAAATATTATTTTCTGCTTATGATTAACCTATAAAACCGTTTTTACAAGAGCCCTTAACTATTTTTATTTTTCATATTAATCAGCCTTCTCAAACAATGCACGGGCTGCGATCTTGGTTGAACTGAAGAAGGAAAAGGACCGGCTCATCCACAGTCAGTCCATGAACACTCCTGGTGCCAGGTAGGGTTAATTGGATTCTTTAAATATTAATATAATATTTTATTATGTTCTCAATAAAACTGGAACCTAAATGTCTGTTGTAGTATCCCCCTGTCCAGACGGAACATGAAGGACTTTAGAGACAGCGCGGAGCTGCAGCACATTGCTGCTCAGCAGAAAGCTGCTTTGCAGGCAAGACACAAAGCCAACAAAAGTGCAACTTGATCACGATTTGCTGTGAAATAATTTTTCGCGTCTTCTTTTCAGCATGCACATACACATTCTTCAGGCTTCTTCATCACTCAGGACTCCTCGTTTGGGAACCTCATCCTCCCTGTCCTTCCACGTCTGGAACCCGAGTCCTGATCTTCGACTCGCTGGTCACCCCTCTTGTTGAACAACTGTTGTGAGACAGGAACCATGTGTTTGCCTTTGCATGTCATTTTTATAGTTTATCAATAAAAAGGCTTGTTTTTCATTTAATAAAAAAAAAAAACCTTGTGAGAAGCTAAGTCTGTCTGTCTTACATTCTGCATTCTAACAAGCTGACAGTAAAGTTTAAGAGAGTCAGAATGCACGGTGCTAACTGCGAACCCCTCCACAGAAACAGTACAAGCTTTCTTGCACTTTAATCTATGGTTGCGCTGATCATATAATTTGATGCACAGTCTGTCAAGTTATCACTCTGGCTAAAAACAATGGTCATGTTGAATCATTTTCAGTTAATATCTTTGGATGTTGTTGTTTATTTGTGCTTTTAGGTAACATATTATGAAAACTGCAGCTTTATTTGTAGTAAAAAAAAACGTGTTGTTTTGACTAAAGTCAGCACCAACTGGATTTGTTTTACTTTTATTTATTTACAGACCATTAGGTCAAATGAATGTCTGCTGTGATTGAGTACGCTAACAGTGACCTCTAGTGGGAGAGATGAGAATTGCACAATAATTTCTGAAATATTTTAATTGCGTCTAAACTAAACAGGAAGTAACATTCAAGTTCACAGATTTAAAAAAAATAAATAAATTTATGACAATAATAGTAATTTGGTCAAATATGGCAAATAAAGACATTGAAAAAAGTCTACTTGTAAAAACGATTTCATATAACACAAGTTTTGGACTGAATTAAGACAAACTTCCTAGATTTTCTTTCTAGTGTAGTGTCATCACTCTAGATGTTTACAGAAATTGTGAAAACGTTTCCCAACTAATTAACTGTACAAAAACTTAAGAAGACCATTAAAATACATTACCACTGCCTGAAACCAATTTCTAACCTTATAAAGCTGTTGCAAGAAAAGTTATTCTAATTTAAATGAACAAACTTAGTTTAGTTTTTGCTGTGAGACAACTATATATATAAGGCACCTTATCCCTACAATGAAGCATGGTAGTGGAAGCCTCATGCTAAGTCTGAGGCCATGGGTCTACTGGAAACAGGTGGAATGCATAATCTGGGTCAGGGATGGGGTATTGAGTTGAGATGGCTCCCTTTAGAGCAAGAGGGTCAAACTTACAAAAGGGGTCCAAAAGTAAAACCTTTTTCAAACTAAGGGCCAGTTTTAGAATCTACATTAACTCAAGTTAGATACCCGACACATTTTCTTGGTTGCAGGTTCCTCAAAAACAGTTTTATTGGTCTCATTTGACGTTCTCTGTTGCACTTTTGACATAATCAAAGATTACTGAAAAAAATTCAAGCAAAAAAAAGTATTTTACGTTTGAAATATCATCTTGGGGGGCCAGATAAGATGTCAACGAGGGCCACAGTTGGCCCCCGGGCCTCGAATTTGCCATATGTGCTTTAGAGGTTTTCAAGCGGCAAGTCCCACTGGTAAGAGGACCCAGGGCAGACTGGGATTGTCCCAAGGTCCCCCACTAGTACAGATAAGTGGTAGAAGATGGAGGCGTAGATCAGGACTATTTAACTAAATTACTCAGGGGGGCACAGTTACTGAAATCTAATAGCTCAGGGGATGGGACATCCAGCAATTATTGTCATTAAGTGTTTGTTTTATGGTTTAAAATCTAGTTTTATTTAAAAATGAAACCATGGGTGGCCTGAACAGAGTTCATCTGTGGGCCTGATTTGGCCCCCGGGCCGCCAATTGAATAAACCTGGTGTAGGTTTTTTTTTTTTTTTTAAAAGAATGAGAAATTTAAAAAAAAAAAAAAAATACTGCTGTGTGTCATTTTCTGCAAATTTACAATAAATGTTGAAAATTGCCATCTCATGAGAAATTATTTAAAAAAAATGTAATTAATAATGATAAAATACAAAAATTGTGTCGTTCAGAAGGAAAAAAAAAAAAAGCTTTATAATACAAGCACACAGAAGATACTGTTCCAATTCATAACAGAGGGATAAATAAATAAATAAAGTGAAGATGCGTGTTGATGACGTCACAGACGGCAGTTTTCTGGACGCGTGTTTTTTCCTCTGCAGAGATGAAGTGAGACCTGGCAGAGCTCGCTCGTGGCTCCGCCCTCCATTCCTCAGTCAGACGTGCAGAGACAGCCCAGCAGCATCCCGGAGGAACTTCTCCCTGACTTTTCACAGCCGCCACAAGTTTGTCAGCTCCGCATTCAAACCTCTGCTCGGAGAGAAAACGCATCGTTTTCCTTTGTGTATTTTGTCCTCCCTGTCCTTCGCATGGAAACAGAAGATATTTGAACCCTCTCGAAGGGAGTAGAGAGAGAAGAGGTGGGTGTCGGGTACAAAGTTTCTTCTTCTTGCCTTGTTTTACGCATTAACTCTGGATACGAGCTTATTTTATTCGTAGCTGCAGCTCTAGTGTTTTTTTTTTTTTTTTTTTGCAAATCAAGACTTTGGTCTTGCCTGAAAAGTCCCTGAAGAAACTTTGCTGTTAAAGAAACAGGCATCCAAGACTCCACAATTAAACAATTGGAAACAATGGCCCTGAAAGCTAAAGTGTTGTATGATTTCCACGCTGAGAACCCAGGGGAGATCTCCATAGCGGAGAATGAGTTGGTGACTGTGTTCACTGAGGAGGAGCTGGAGGGCTGGCTGGAGGGGGAGAACACCAAAGGAGAGGTTGGCCTATTTCCTGCCTCTTATGTTGATCTCATCAAGGACCACATCAGCCCCAGCGCCAGCAACAACGGCGTCTCTTCACCCAAAACCATAGCAATCCAGTCCCCGGCCCATACGTCGCACGCATCCTCGGACTCTCCGTCTCAGAGGGGATTTAAGGCGGGCAGCGGTGGAGGGAGCAGCTTCAACACCAGCCAGGGCAGCGATGACGACTGGGACGACGACTGGGATGACAGCTCCACTTCAACATTTGAGCCTCAGGGTTTTGGCACTACCCCTCCCATATACCCGGTCACCACCTCCCTGCCGAGCCGCAGGAGCAGCCAGCAGCAGCAGCAGGCCAAGAGCTCGGCAACGGTAGGAAGAAACCTCAACAGGTTCTCTACCTTCGTCAAGTCCGGTGGGGAGGCCTTCCTGCTCGGGGAGGCCTCGGCTTTTGTGAAGGATGGGGACAAGATTGTTGTGGTGATGGGAAAGCATGGAGCGGAGTGGCAGGAGGACCCTTATCCCTTCACATGCACCATCGATGACCCCACCAAGCAGACCAAGTTCAAAGGGATGAAGAGCTACATGTCTTACGGTCTTACTCCAACGCACACCAACGTACAAGTTAACCGCAGGTACAGTTTCCCTCTTTCTGTTTGTCTCCACTTTCACAACATACACAACCTCCTTTCTCCAAGCTGTCCCAGTAAATCCTGTCTCCCTCGCCATCCTGCCTACAGGTATAAACATTTCGACTGGCTCTACGCTCGGCTTGTTGAGCGTTTCCCCGTCATCTCTGTGCCCCACCTGCCGGAGAAGCAGGCCACGGGACGCTTTGAAGAGGACTTCATCTCCAAGAGGAGGAAGGGTCTGATCTGGTGGATGAACCACATGGCCAGCCACCCGGTGCTGGCCCACTGTGACGTCTTCCAGCATTTCTTGACGTGCGGGGCGGACGAGAAGGCCTGGAAGATGGGCAAGAGAAAGGCAGAGAGGGATGAGCTGGTCGGAGCCAACTTCTTCCTCACGATCAGGTAGGAGCTCATCCCTGCTAGGCCTGTCGCAATAAACAATAAATCAATTAATCATTTTCATTTATCGGCTTTATCGTTTCTTTGTCTCTCTCTTACTGAAGACACTGGATGACAAAAAGCTCAACTCCGGTTCTCTTCGCTGAGCCCTCCCTTTCTAGTTTCTCTTTAAAATCTATTATAACCGTCCAAATCGCGTTTTTGGATCATTAAAAGCAGCTGAGCTGTGAAGCTAAGCTACGAGCTAAGCTAAAAGGCCGACCTCGGGAAAAAAACCTCTGTCTTGTCAAACCTCCAAAATTCACGGTTGAAACCCGTGCCTTCATCTAAAAAGTTGTGTTTTTTTTCTGGAAAAAGAAACTGAGAACTTGTTTACTGATGTTTTTATTAAAAGCTTTGTGTGATAAATACTATAAAGAGCTCAAACCACTCTGAGCTTCCGCCATTTTGAAAACAAAAAAAACAAGAACGAGAGACAGCCCATGTCACGTCAAGGGGCCTCCCTCCCAGTTTTCTTAAAGAGACGCACTGCTCGCTCCCTCGCTATCCTTCCTTCGGTTCAAACAGTCTTATACTGCCACCAGTGGTCAAAAATGGTACTACACTCAAAATTAACCAACATTTCTTCTTAAGTTTGACAATAATGACTAATTATTGTCAAATTTCAAACAATATTATCATTTATCGCAATAATTTCTGAGACAATTAATCGCTCAGTAAAGTTTGTTATCGTGACAGGCCTAATCACTGCCGAAGAGCTAGAATCTTGGATAACTGTGGTTTTATCACGTTGGCAAAAAGTAAAGAGCATCACAAGTTTGTATTCATGCGTGAGAAATGACCAGTACTGCACTGTATTCCTGATGTTGTTGTGGCACTAGTTCCACTGCAGGAATGGTAAGAAGCTTATTGCTGCTTTTTTTTTCTTACCAGCAACATTTGCAAGTTTCAGTGGCATAGATATGCCGGTACACCAAGAGAAGGCAAAAGACAATAAAAGGCAATCATAACTCAAACTACTTTATTTTATTTTATTTTTTTATTCACAACTACCGGTACACTTATCCTCTTAGCTTGAAAAACACATTTATTTATTCTATACCATACGTTCTATGTCTTTGTTTTGTGACTATCTCAAGATAAAAGGAAATCAGTAATTTAAAGCATTTAAAAGAGTGGATGTGGTAGCTCGGTGGTTAGTGCTGCAGTCTTGTAATCCTGAGATTGCGGGTTTGAGCCCAGGTTGCGTCAGGAGAAGCATCCGGCGTAAAACAAATCGCCAAATCTTTCATGCAGGTTCATTCACTGTGATGATCCCTGAAGAAGGGAGTAACCGAAAGAAACTTACTATAAGAGCTTTTAAAATCGATAAAGCTAATTTTAGATCCTTTATGTTGATTTTTGACATTTTGCTAGAAGTTTTATCAGCTTTTTTTTTTTTTTCTTGTTTAAATATTCATTATCTGAAGGAATGTTACTGTTACTTTTATTCTGGGATGCCGCTTTTGAAAACTTTAATTCCTCTTTTTTCTGGATGTAAATCTCTTTTTTTGGATGATTATTTCCTCTGATATCAGATGCTGTGCAGCTTGAAGGATTTTTCCTGAAACATTTTTTTTGCTTTTGGACATGTGTTATGATGTGTAACCATGACAATAGGGTGTTTTTTTTTACAAATGAGAGAAGCTGATTAACATCTCAAAAGCTCAAATAATACCTCCGCTACAGCCCAAATCACAAACTAATTAAAAAAGGAGGTGCCGTGGACGCATCCCCGTCTACCTGGCGGAGGTGCTTGATACCTGACCGCCAAGATCCTGGAGCTGGTGGGAAACATGGCTCGTGACTACAAGAAGACCAGGATCATCCCCTGACACGTGAAGCTGGCTGTCCGCAATGATGAGAAGCTCAAGAAGCTGCTGGGAGGAGTGGCCATCGCTCAGGGAGGAGTTCTGCCCAAGATTCAGGTGGTCCTGCTGCCCAAGACGACCGAGAAATCCACCAAGTCCAAGTAGACAGATCAACATCGGCAGCCAGTGTCCTCAGATCTGTTCTAAGACGGACTGCAACAAGAGATCCTTCCTGCCCACAGCCATCAGCATCTATAACAACTCTAAAGAAACCAGGATGATGAGTTACAACAACATTTAATTTCCCTTTGGGATTAATAAAGTATTTTTGAATTGAATTGAATTGAATTGAATGCATAATGGGGAGAAAGTGATGAGAAAAATGAAGAGCTCGTCTCTTTCAATGTTTAGGAGCCCCGTGCTTCACATCAGATTTCTTTAAGACTTGTTCAGCTTATACCAGGGCTATTCAACTAAATTGCTCCGGTGGCCACAGTTACTGAAAACCAATGCTCAGGGGCTAGACATCCGGCAGTTATTCTCATTAAATAAGGTTGTTTTACGATTTAAAATCTAGTTTAATTTAAAAATGAACCCACTGGTGGGCTGAACTGAGCACACCCATGGACCTGATTTGGCCCCTGGGCCGCCAGTTGAATATCCCTGGTTTATACCATTACCAACTTTAGTGATCTGATAAAGTGATGGTACTTGGTGTTTTAGACATTGATTGCTGTAACTTCCATGTCATCTGCCATTTGTGTAATAATTCATAAAATTGGGCTTTACATTAACTGAAGTTTTTCCACATCATATATAACTGTTTATATGAGCTTGCACTGGTCATGTCAAACAGCTGCAGTGGATGGAGGCAACGGACATTCTCTACATATTTACGCTTACAAAATGGTTTTTTGGTCATGAAGGTATAAATGGACCCCAGCAACAAACACAGTTGTTTTCAACTGAAATAAAAAAGGATATTTAATTTAATTTATAAGGACACTGCATCTTGGAAAATCTTTGTTTAAGAGGTGAAAATAAAGTTTTTAAATCCTTCTAGACTTATAGTTTTTCATTATTTCGTTATGTTAGTTCTACATCAAAAATTTGGAAGCCTAATCCCTCCTCATGTTAAAAAAAAATAAAGATGTATAGGAGCAGTTTTAAATATCAACAGAGGATAGGACAAAGATAAAGCATTGCCATTGCTCGAACACTAAGGATTAGTTTTATCCCTATTGTTTATTCCAGAAACTGGGATAACGACTAGAAAAAGAACAGAATAGTTGTTGTTTCTTTCTTTCTTTCTTGGGAGGTGAAATAATGCACCTATTGTGTTGAACCATCTTTTTCCAGACAATTTAATTTTTCCTTGTGTCATTGTAACAACTTGTATATAATAAATATATACACAATGCAGGTCAAATCTAATCTGACTGGTGTCAACAAAATGTACAGAAAAACATGATAGAGGGTCATAAGAGGTAATTGGAACATGACACCAGCATGTTCAGTCGCCTTTTGATGGTTGGAAAGCAGTGAGTGTCTTAAAGTGGCTTTAGTTTAATTTTTGATGAGTAGGCTAGTCTGAGAGTCAGTCAGAGCCTAAAATAGATGCCATGAGACTGTGGCCCTGCAAGCGATAGGAAATGCTAAATGTTTATAAAAATCTAAAGGAAGTTAAGTCTGGTCCTCTGGATGGATTCAAAAAATGGGTTCATAAAAACGGTAATAAAACGTGTCCCACTTGGAACTAGAATTTTATCCCTTTTTTCTTTTTGCATTAAGATTCTGTCAGTCAAAATTCATAAAATATATCACACTTGGAAGCACATGTTGATTACTACCCCACATACTGAACGCAACAACTCATCGTGTTAAAATGCAAAACCAAAGGCTCATCACTGAGTAAACTCTCAATAAGGTTAAATTGCTTTAAATGGCTGAAAATAAAACTAGAATGACTGAAACTATAGTATCTGTCCCCTCTTTTCTTCCACAGCACGCCCGCTGTTCCTCTGGACCTTCAGGAGGTCGAGAACAAGATCGAAGGCTTTAAAACCTTCACCAAACGAATGGATGAGAACATTGTCGTTATGAACACCACCATTGGCGAGTTTTCCCGCAAACAAATGACGGGCTTCAAGAAGGAGTACCAAAAGGTTGGGCAGTCCTTCAGACTTCTCGGACAGGCGTTTGAGCTGGATCAGCAGGCCTACTCGGCAGGCCTGAACCAAGCCATCGCCTACACCGGCGAGACGTACGAGGTCATAGGGGAGTATTTCGCAGAGCAGCCTCGTCAGGACCTGGAACCTATTTCTGATCTGCTCGATCTTTACAAAGGACATCTGGCCAATTTTCCTGACATCGTTCATGTACAGAAAGGTAAGTGCTTGTGTGAGATTTGAATGCAGAGCTTCTGTGGTTAATTGTTGAATTATGCATTAAAAGTCATATTGTAAGAAGTTTGCAATGGAAGGGTCATGCATATGAAAAACATGCATTTGTATTTTCTACAAAAACAGATAAAGAAGCTGACATGAGTTCTTAATTTCTAGAATTGCGCTGCTCGGGGTGGCTGCATGTTGAAGTAGCTCTGTTACATTCATTCTGAGCTATTGCTGTTGGAAACCTGAATTCCTCTTTTTCTGGATGTAAATCACATTTTTTTTAGATGATTGTTTCCTCTAGTATTGGACGCTGTGCAGCTGGAAGGATTTTTAGTGAAACTTTTTTAACTTTTGGATATTTGTTATGATCAGAGTTAGACTTTCTTTATTTGTCATTCATACCACATGAGGTACACGTGGTGGAACAAAATTATGTACACAGGGTCCCAATTACAGCCAACAAAAGTATAAAATGATGCGTAACCATAACAACAAGTTGTTTTGTTGTATTTTTTACAACGGGGAGCAGCTGATTAACATCTCACAAGCTCAAATAATACCTCAACTACAGCCCCGACTGTCAAATGAGTTGAAAAAGGAGGCGCCGTAGATGCATTCCCGTCTCCCTGCCGGTTGTGCTTGAGTGCCTGACCACTGAGATCCTGGAACTGGCATGAAACATGGCTCAAGACAGCAAGGACCGGGGTCATCTCCTGACATCTACAGCCAGTTGTCCACAGTGATGAGGAGCTCGGCAGGCTGCTAGGAGGAGTGGCCATCGCTCAGGGAGGAGTTCTTCCTGGGATTCGGGTGGTCCTGCAGCCTGGAGGAACCGAGAGGCCAGCCAAGTCAGGGTGGATGGATAGGACAGCATCTGCGGCCATTTTCTTCAGATCCACCATGGGACGGACCTTTACAAGAGATCCTTCCTGCCTACAGCCATCAGTATCTCTAACATCTCTTAATGAAACCTGTATAATGAGTTACAACAACATTTAATTTCCCTTTGGGATTAATAAAGTATTATTGAATTGAATTAAGGCTAATAGAAGCAGAGCTTAAAGTCTGCAGAAGCTAGATATGTACAAAAAGTAAAGAACAGGCAAACAATATAATGAATGCTGATTCCGCATTCAGACAATTACTCTCAAGAATGTTTTCAAGAATGGAACTAGACAGGCAAGTGTCCTTTTCTGCTAATTTAACAGAGACCACAGGTTTTAAGTTTATTTGCAGTGGGATGTATATTTGTTAAATACAAAATACATTTTTCACTTGTGTAGCGATGCTTGTTTTCCTCTCTGACGACAGAGCATCGAAATAGTGTTTCTTCACTGATTATTCACTCTCCTGCAGAAGACACTAAACCAATGACATCATATGTATTCTGTGTGTTCTGCACTTCTGGCTCCCTTGCATTACATGGCAGCAAAGTGAGTCTTACGGTGTTTAATATTTACAATTGTTCCTCATTCAGGAGGTTAAAAACAAAACAGAAACATGTTTCTTTTTTTGTAACTAAACTATTAACATTATCTATCCAAAATATAGCAAAAACAATGCATTAAAAGTCTAGAACTCTTCAGCAGTCGGAATATAATAAAAGCTAACAACAATATTTAACATGACTAAAAAGAAAACAAAGGTTTCTATAGCTCACCCTAGTCCTTTTTTTGACCACTGGATGACAGTATAAGACTGTTTGAACTGAAAGATGGATAGTGAGGGAGCGAGCAGTGTGTCACTTTAAGAAAAATGTGAGGGAGGCCCCTTGACGTGACATGGGCTGTCTCTCGTTCCTGTTTTGCGGTTCTCAAAATGGCGGATGCTCTGTGTGGTTTGAGCTCTTTAGCATAGCATTTTTCCACACAAAGCTTTTAATAAAAATAAAAAAAATCAGTAAACAAGTTATCAACTTATTTTTGCAGAGAAAAACAACTTTTTACACAAAGGCACGGGTTTCATCCGTGGATTTGGAAACATGATTTTGAACTGTTAAAAACAGATTTTAAAAAGAAAAGAGAAAGGAAGGGGGTCAGTGAAGAGCACCGGAGTTGAGCCTTTTGTCATCCATTGTCTTCAATAGGAAGAGAGAGACACGAAGAAACGATAAAGCCAATAAATGAAAATGAGGTAAATAATTTTCATTTATCATGCGATTAATTGATTTATTGTTTATTGCAACAGGCCTAGTCTGATGTTCATAATTTGGATTGATTTGAACTGTCACGTTTGGCATGTCATGTCTACTTGAGGTAAGCAGAAATGGCATGATGGTCACCAGTCATATGTGCAACACCAACTGACGTCAGTTTTGCGCTAATAGATTCACCAATCAGGGCTCCTAATTTCCCTATTATTTCAGTAAATCTATTAACATCCACGTGTCTGTTGATGTGTTAAAATCAATATTACTGTTAGGTGTGGAAGCATGTTTACACACATTTTTTACTGATGGGAGTAAAACCTAGGGTTTGACTTAAGTTCATAGAAACTCCTAAAACAGTATATTGTCCCATATTCTTCCATTTGGCAGTAGAACAAAGCCAGACACCTCTACCTTTAGGAAGTGTAGGAGTAGTGAAGGCATCCATTTTACAATTGTAACAGCTTTCAAACTGGAACTGTACTTGTGTTTTGTGTCGACTTCAGAGTGCTGATGTAATACAAAAAAATATATAATTACTCAGCTCTTCGCTAACAGTCCTTTATGTGACCAACCACACATTAAGGAGAGCAACACAGCAGCAAGCTGGCCTGAAGGTCCCAACTGTCACGGCACTACTGTAACAATGCTTGTTTTCCTCAAACGACAGACCATCGAAATTATGTTTTCTCAATGTTTATTCGCTCTCCTGCAAAAGACAATAAACCAAACATAATGTTTTCTGTACTTCTGGCTCCTAATCGTTCAAAAATAAATATTGCACTGTGTAATGTCGGCAAATCATCTGCAGAGCCATTACAGTCACAAACCACAAGAGGGCGCACTAAATGGAAAATGGCGCCAAACTAGCATACGTCTGTAAAGCTTGTTTTTGCAGTCAAAATGAAAATAAAGTCACAATAACATTGTAAAAATCATATCAAACAATATACCATAAGATTTATAACTTAAATTGCAACATTTTCAAAGAAAGACGGGGGGAAAAAAGCATCAACGATGTTTTCACACTACTTAGCCTCGCATTGCGTGGCGGCTAATTGGGAGAGGAGCAAAATGCATGACATCATTTCAGAAAAAGACCTCAATAAGATAAAATTCACAAACATATTATTATTAACACCGTGGAGTAAACAAATATTTCAGAGTACATTTTTAACTCTTTTCCACCTCCATAAAAAATAATCAACAATGCGTCTTAAAGGCATCCAGTCAGTGTTCCTGTCTATAAATCATGTCAATATACAAAGAAAAAAAAAAGCAGTCAGACAGATTCCGACTGTTTCCTTACCAAGAGCAACATCTGTTTTTATTTACACAACTTCAGTGCAAATCTGGGGAGAAAACTGAAACCCCTGGGTCACTGTTGGACTGGTTCTGAGCCTCACTAAAACAACACATGGGGGACACGCAGGCACATACACACAGGCATTTTACAAAGCATTTCCAGAGGAATCAGCTTGTTAGTTTCTCGCAGGCTGGGAGGAGGGGGAATTACTGCTGGCAGGCAAAGGCTAGACGTTTGCCAAACCAAGAGGCGCTGTTTCTATAGTCCGCCCGGCTTTTTTCTCATGTTACAATCACAGCTCCAAGCTATGGAAATAGGCTCAATTTAAAAAAAAAAACCTTCTTTAGTGACATAACTCCCCCTGTTTTTACTGGCAAGCAATGCATTTTAATCAGACATGTTTAATTTCCTCCAGAGAGGCCTGATTATATAATCCAATTTTTTTTTTTTTAATGGTGCAAATATTAGCTATTCTTATCCTGTCCCTGTGGAGAAATGCATAATGGGAAATTTGTTGTACTTTGTCTGTACTGTAATTCCAAAAAAACATAAAATCTGAAATATAGGAAATTTCCATCCAAAAAAGAAAATGACTAAAAACTATTAACTAACTTATGAACAGCTGTGGAACTTGTGAAAGAAATTAATGCAAAATTCCCCCCGGCATATCAACATTATCATTCTAGATAAACGCCCTAAGTACAGGGTTACAGAGTATTTTTCTGCTGCCGTCATTGGAAACCTGGTTTTTGAACGTGTCAGCTTCGTAACACCCATGACCTCATTGCACTGATAGTCTACTCTGCTGTCTGGATTGGGAAATAAGTACACTTGACAACAGACTGCTAGTTTAGTCTCACTTCCACAACAGCTAACTTGGCAATTAATTTGGAAAAACAATTGTTTGATTACACACCGATTCAGCATTTTCAGACGACCTTCATGCTTCTCTGTGGCGCTGAGTTCCACAGATACTGTTGTTGGCCTTGTGATATAGAGCTAAGATATTTGTCCAGTTGCAGTAAGACTTGAGAGTGAGAATAGAGAATGAGGCTTCTTAGTCATCTTAAATGTCTTGTGGCATTATCAGCTGTCTTAGTTTGGTTTGTTAGATGTAAAAGGCACATCTGATTTGAATGAGCTAAGTTTCCTGGACTTCTTGTCTCATGTTGCCCCTGAACTGCAGGAATGCAGGCTTTGTACTGGGTTCCCCTCCTCCTCCTTTTCCTTTTCTTCCCTTTTCTTTCCTCCCATCTGGTGGATGTTTCCCACAAGAACAGCGGTACAAAAGTTCAAATTTCAGCACTGTAATCGCCTTGTAGAGCGCAAAGTCCTAGTGCATGTATTTTTAAGCAGAATGGGGAAACAAGAAAGATAGCGTGGGTTTGTGAACCAGACTCAGCTTGCTCATCATTTCCTTCACATGGTGCCATGTTAGTGCTCTACTTCTTCTCCATCCTTTCTTTATTAGTCAGGCCTGTTCAAACGTTACCACTCCCCCCCCCCCCCCCCCCCTAAAAGTTCAGTCACATTAAACTTAATGAGACTTGTCTGGGTGTTGGGTAACGTCAAAGAAAAGAAGCCTGTTAAAATCCCAACAGCCAGCTCATTTTTAGAGTTAACAAATCACACCCACTTAGTCAAACTGAAGTTATACTAAAGGTTCAAAATAGACCACAAAAAAGTTGTTTTCTAGACAAACCATGAATCATACATAACTATTTTAAGAAAGTCAAAAAAATATATATAGTGATGAAAATCCACCACATAAGGTCTTCCATGGTAAATGGACTGGACTTATAAAGCATCTTTCTATCTTGTCAAGATACTCAAAGTGCTTTACAACACAATCTGTGCCCTCATTTACCCATTCATACAGCACTCTACTAGATCTATACAAAGCTCATCTGAATCTGTAGAAATTATTCAGTGCTTTAAATCACATTCATACACCAATGGGACACACATCGGAGGCTATGAGGGGTTCAGTGTCTTGCCCAGGGACACTTGAGCATGTGACTGCTGGTGGAATCCAACCCCCAACTCTCCTATTGGATGGCGACTGCTCTAACCACTCATCCACAGCCGCCCTTATCCATCTTGGTTAGTACTTTCTCAGTGCTTTTGGAGTGTCAGCCCGAAATGGTGGTTCCCATTCTTGCAGGGTTCAAAGACCAGTAGACCTGCCATCTGCATTTTGTATATGTAAAAAGACAACTGGTTTTGTCCCTTCAGTAAGTTTTCTGTTTTTTTAAAGCATGGTTCTGCATGGCAGTTTGTAACGGAGTGTGTGGCCAAATACCATTTCCTAGTGTTAGCCCTAATCCAACCCGTTGGCTCTTAATTCTAAGTACCAAGAGAAAGTGGTTAAAATATTCCACTTTGAACTACAACACATTTTTAATAAGATTCACAAAATAAATGTTTGCAATCCCTTTCACGTAAACAATGTAGCCTTGTTGCCACAGTACCAGCATGCAGAGGAATTAATGATAAAGTTTCTAACAAACTGGATGTTATTTTTATGTCTAGTAACAAAAATTAACGATATCAAATGAAGTACATGTCACACATTAGACATAAGAATGGTTGTTGTGATAATAAAAATAATTTAACAGAGCAGCGAAACTACATTTGTGAGTTTCTTTGCTACCGCAGTTCATATCGTTCATTTAAAGTGTCCCCCAGGAAAATGTCTATTTGAAGGGTCAGATAACCACACCTCATTTGAACAGGAGCACATCCATTAAGATTTCAAAGGGACGGACAGATGGAGGCCACTGATCATTTTTGTGTGGTTTTGAATGAATGAATAAACTTTATTTAAAAAGGGACAATGCACAACTCAAACATAAATGTCACCATTTGATGCGCTGTACCATATTATAGCGAAAGCTAACTCACATCTGCAGTCCCTTAGTTTTAGTATCTCATACAAGCCATTTGAAAATAATTGTATTATAGGAGGTAGGGAACCACCATCTGACATAAAGCAGCTTTGGTTTCATACTTTACAGTTGAAATAACTAATAGAGAACGGCACAGTTATCTCTCATCTCATTAGTTTGCATATCTGTAAAAATGACTTGAGTTACAGCCATCTCAGGCCCTTTCTTGGTGGCACCCTCCATTGGACCTCCCACTCCAATGCAAACAGAATAGGGAAATCCCATAGCAGCAGAATATAGTAAAATGTTCAAGATTGGGCTAAGAGCAGTGGTGTAGTCTAAATTTTTGTGCTGTAATTAGAAACCAAAGTGCACTGGTTAGTACAATGTAATCGTCAATTAATTTTGATTTTTAACCATATTGAACATTTCCAAATTTCTCTGATGCTTATATTTGAATAAACGAACAACAAACTTTGTACAACTGTTGGCTTTGTATTAAAAACCTGTTATAGAATTTATAAAACAGTATCAAAGCAAAACATGTTCAAGTATTAAGTAGTGAGTACAGAATTATACAATAATTTTCTGGATAAGCAAATATAATAAACAAGTGCTGCATACCAGTAGATTGTTACGGAAGTGTCTAACTGCCGTTTAACGTATCAAGGACACACTAATGATATGGCATGTATCACTGGGCACTTTTAAGTGGGTATACTGAAATTCTTAAGCTTTTCTAGTGGATATACTCTGTGTACCCATGTATCGCATATGCACCACTGGCTAAGAGGGAAATGGGATGTGCAGGAGAACTGGTGCTACTTCTATAATACCAAAGCCAATGTTTGTGACTGTTCTAGTGAAAGAACGTCGGACAAGAAGACTTTTCAGTCACAGTTGTTTGGAAAAGTCTTAAGCTGCCCATTTAAAAAAAATATATATATATATATATATTGCTTCCAGTGTGCCAGACATTGTAATTTTTAAATATGATAATTTTCAATCTGCTCAAAGCAGCAGGGTTAAAATTATTAACATCTCAGGGTAAATATCAAGGCTGGAATTTTCATACATTATCATAAATGGAAAAAAAAAAAATTGTGGATTTTTTTTCTTGTTATTTTTCGACTGAAATATAATTCTTCTTTTCATTTGATCACTTTTAACAGGTGCACTGACCAAAGTGAAAGACTGTCCGAAACAGGAGGGTGAGCTCCACGACCGCTGCAACATCATATCTTGTGCCACGCTGGCAGAAATCCAGCACTTCCACCGCACGCGTGTGCGAGACTTCCGCTTGCAGATGCAGCACCACCTCCACCAGCAGATCAGCTTTTTCCAGAAGATTACCGCCAAACTAGAGGACGCGCTGCAGAAATATGACGATCAATAATCTTTTGAAAGAAATATATATATATATTTGTTTTTTTCATCTGTCACAAGTGCTGGAGGAAACACAGGCCACAGGACAAGTTGCTGGATTATCTGAATGGCTGATGAATTTACCAGCTGCAGCAGTTTTGCACTCCATCTGACAGCTCAGCGATTCTGGGGAAGGTATTTAAAATCTGTTTCAACTTGCTGCAGTTTGTATCAGGACTTCTGGCTCACGCCACTGACTCCACTGCTTCCAGGTCCTCCATATATGGGTTCTGTTTAACCCATCGTAAACAATGACAGGAAATATTTCTAATTTCTAAGCTCCAGCTGTTTGATAGTTGAAAGACAAAATTAAATTAACTTTTTAAGGATCTTTATTATTTCACTCTGTTTGCTTTTACTTGAATAACTTACTCAGTATTGTTTGGTTACACAGTTTGGAGACTTTTGTGACTGTGGAAGGTGGAACAGAGGGAATTATCAGCTCCTTTCATTCCAGCTAAAGACATTTTGACCTCGAACATCTCCTATAACTCACAAATTGAAACGGTTTCACCATTTTAAAATTTAAAACTACAAGAATTTCAGCATCTTAAATCGTCTGGTTTTATTTTAGGTGATTTATTCAAATCTCATTTAGACGTCAGAATCGGTACAGACATGTTCTTTAAGGTGATGGATGTATTCTAACTTTCAAATTATTTGAAAGGTAATGTTTTTTCTTTAAAACATGTGTTTGTTAAAATTGGTGCAGTCTGTTCATCTCCATTTCTTATACATATTGTTGTCATTTCTTATAATGGAATGGTCTCACAATGTTTAAACTCTGCATAAGTTTAAAGAAAAGTTGCACAATATGTAACAATGTACTAAAATAAATTCACAACTTTTTGTTGTGATCACTATTTTATCACTGAACCAAGAAAGACTGGTAAAAAAAAAAAAAAAACTTAGTAATCAAGTCTTGCAGGGAGGCTCTTTGGACTTGAGCAAAAACTAAATAAAAATATATGTATTTCTATAAATAACTAGTTTTGTTGCCCTACAGTGGTTTTACATAATTTGCCACTGTCAATAGTTCACGTACAGAATGTGGTTCTTTCAAGATTTGGTCCATATTTGCTGACAGTGAATTTTTTTAAGGTTTACAAGAGAACCCATTATCCTCTAGTTGTGTTTATTTACTATTTTTAATTACTTTCATAAATGACTTATTGGCAGAATTGAATAAATAAACCAATAAAAGTGGAATATATGTAAATAATGTTTCCATGTTGTTTTAATTTCTCTGAATACAACTTCTTACTTTACCTGATCCATGTTCTGTCTTAGTTTATTTATTCTTTCAAAAAGACACAAATTGTTTATGAAGTTTTAGCAGGTGTTGTAAAAGCAGAGTTCTTCACATTTTAATGCTCAAAATGTGCACTACAGCAGACCCTCGCTACTTCGCGGTTAGTTTTTCACGGACTTGCTGTATTGAGGTTTTTCAAAGTAAGAATGGACAAGACACACAATTGGCTGATTGATGGATGAGCCGCATGATCTGCATGGAATTTATATTTAAAATACATTATTTTAAATTATTTAGTACCTGTGTGCAGCCCAAGCTGCAGGAGAAGCTTCCTCCTGTAGCTGATCAGCTGATCTCTGCTCTGCTGTGGAGAAGTGGGCGTGGCCAAGAGCCTGGCAGGTGGCAGGGTGCAGCATTGTTTTGAACAATGTTTTTCAAAGTGGGGGACCGCAGCCCCCTGGGGAGCCGACAGGGGACGCTAGGAGGCCACAGAAAGCTGGAGAGACGATTAAAAAAAAAATACAAAAAATTGTAGAAATGTTTCGTCTTTCATCCTATAGACTAAACATTTCTACATTTTTTAAAAAATTTTTACGTCCAGACGATCTGATTTAACTTTTCAGGGTACGGATACCCTGCGATAAACGAGGGACTACTGTACTTTGTTTTTCTACACTATGCATGCTGCTGAAAATAATACTAGCTACAGTACACTTTTTTTTTTTCTCTATCATTAGATTCTTTTAGATGTCACCAAGGTATAAATTTAAATTTAAAATCTGTTCTTTGTGTTTTAGTCAAGTCAAAGATTTCCTATTGAGTTAACATTCTTTGACTTTTGTTTCCTTGTGAAGACTGCAGCATGTGTGTTCCTGACAGCTGACACCGTCGTTCACAATCTGCAGATCAGTTTACTTCAACCACAGGCTGTTTATTATTTAAAGGGACTTTTTTCTTTTCTCCACTCACTGCTTGGCTCTTCATATTAGCATTCTGGTTTATTCTTATGTCAGTGCTGTTTTCACCAAGAAGATTTATTGTCTTGCAATCCTTTAAATTAGTTTTCAAGCTTTCTACAGGTCTGTCAGTGTGTTTCTTTGAAGGTTTGCTGGTTTTTCCATAGCAATTAGCTGAAAATGGGAAATGTTTCCTCAAATAAAAGAGAAAACAGGACAACTGAGGATGAAAGTAAAGGCTGCACACTAAAAAGTATCTACATAAAAGTGTTTGAGTCATACTTAAAGGATTTGCCACATAACAGAAAAAATAAAAGTCTAACAAAGGATCTAAAAACAAAGGATCACTTATGTTTTTTTTAGCAATCAAGATTATTCCAACCTCATCTAATTACTCTGGTAATTGATTTGTTGGTGCTAAAATACATGTTTATGTCTGTTAAACTGTTATTTGTGGAATGTTTAATAGATTTACCCCCCAAAAATAGTCAAAGTGAGGAACTTTTGCAGCTTACAACAAAAATGCTACAAAATGTTTGTAATTATTTGATTCTTAAGGCAGATTGATACAAGTAAATAAATGGGTCACTTAACAGCTATAAATATGGTTCAAATTGTGTATAAATTTTTAAAATGTGAATCGACCTTTTTACACTGAAAGTAATGGACTAGATTTATAGTAGCTCTGCAAGTTACTGCCTATTTATGTTATATATATTTTAAAAAATATGGTTTATTTACATGTCTTTTTTTTTTTTACATTTGCAGTTTGCACATTTTTACTGTGGAAACATGGACATTACAAAAGACGGGCGAGAAAAATGCATGACAAAAAGAAGGACATCATCCTTTCACATCAGCTGACAGAACAATAGATTGCTTTGTTGGCTGGTTTGCACAAAGTTGTTAGAACATGGCACAAACAGCAGTTTTTGAAGAAATAATTTATTGTAAATGTTTTATATATCAACAATATGGATTTAAGGGGATGACAGCAATTTACATTTACATCCAACAGTGAGTTATTTTTTTCTAATATACTGTCGGAAGCATTTACCAGTACATGATTGCAGATGACAGAAAAGTTCATCCATTTCTTTTTTCTGTATTTGTATACATGAAGGTTGGGAGGTGGTGTTTTACATGCATGAAACTCGCAGAACCTGAGGTTACATGTGCGGTACAAACTCAATCTACCAGCTGACATGCAACATTTTAAAAAGCATTGCATCAACTCATAAACAAGTTGCAGTGAAAAGCTCAGTTGCATCATTCCCAACTAAAAAAAATCCTCTATTTACTGGAAGTTTATTTTTCCTGTTCATCAGTGGTTAAAAAAATATATTACTCTTCATACAACTCATTCGCTGTTGGTCTGACAGCAAGTCTAGTACAGAATCTACTTTAACTGTTACTTGATCTTGAAAATGAATTTGAGGAATTCTTTCTATCAAACTAAAGCTAAGGACTTAAATAAACTGGAGTTCACACACTGTACATATTTTCCCCCAAAGTACATTGGATGTGCCCAACATGACCACACGATCTCTAAAAAGCAGATATACAGTATCATTCTCAGTCATTACACCTCTAAGGCACAGTTTATATAAAAGTTACATTTTCCTAAACCCAGTACTGATTGTCTTTAAGAGATGGAATAGAGGACCGAGATCTCCAGGTGAATACAGCAGGAGAATCTGGTGGTGAATTACAACAAGTATTATTGTTTCTTTCATTATTGTCAAACCCTCTAATATGTCCATCTCCACCCAATAAATCAGATTCAAATGGCCCCCAGAAGGTCATTCCAGGAGCCAGACTCCTCCTCGGACTCAATGGTATCCTGGGGGAAGTTGGGCAGCTTGCAGAGCCAAGTGGGGTGACCATCACATTGGGCATAGCCATACTGCGTTCTGGCCGTCCCAGGTAAAGGCTGTCCTCCGTGGGTAACTGCACTGCAGCCAGTTCTTGCATTAGCTGCTGCCGAGCCTGTTTCTCTTTGCGGTGGCGGAACACCAGGATCACAACCACAAGGATTATGATGAGAAGCAAACAGGCCAGCAGTGGCAAGATAATAAGAAGTGGATCAGAGGAAGGGCGAGGGAGAATCTGAACATGAACCAGGTCTGTGTTTGGATGGTTCATAGGAGTGTGTGTCTCTGGGACAGGAGGAGTGTGAGGTTGTGGGGTATGACTGCTGCCCTTTTCTGCTCCCTCTGGAATGATCCCCGATCTCCCTCCATGGGTCCCGCTGCGTGTGTGGTTCCCCGAGCGGTTATGAGACTTCACCTTATGCTGGGTCTTGTTTTGTTTTCTTTGTGACAAAATGTGAGGTTGCAAACCATCCCCGGCCACACCGTCTGTTACAGATGTTCCTTGTCCACCTCTTGTTGTAGTCCTGTTGTGTGTCTGGAAACGGGTTGTCGTGCGTTCATGACTTGAACTACTAGTATCCACTTTATTTGAAATTCTTGAGCCATGACGCATTTGGCGATGGGGAAAAATGGTGAAGTGAAGCTCGCCCTTTGCTGGCTGGACATTTCCAGCCTTCAACAAGAAGGTAAAGGAATCATTGAGAGGTGTGGCAGGTGCATTGCCTCGAGCTGTTGTGACTCTGGATTCATTAATGTTAAGCTGGTTGTCAGAGTCACTGAGGGTCTCTTCGATGGCAACTCTGCCTTGAACAACATCTCTGAACGTAAATGTCTTCAGGTCCTCTGCCGCTTCGTCAAGGTCATAGGTAATCTGTATATGTGAACACACAAGTACAGTAAATGAGTATCAACAATACCATAGAGACCATTTCACACTAACGGTTAAGCTGTTTTTATAACAATGCTGAACAATCAATGACAATGTGTACAGCAATCTGCATTACCTTGACTAGTTTCCCATGTTTTGGTGGAGACAGAACCTCAAAAACTGGGTTGACTCTACTTATTCTGGCCAAGTCGGAGGCATCAATCATGGCTTTCCCCAGTTTCACAGCAATGCCACTTGGAACTCTAATGGGTTCTCTCAAGTAGACCAGAGGTCGCACAGTCACATTCACGGTCTGCCCTGGTAAAGTCCCATAATCTACACCAAGAGATGATGCTGACACTGAGATCTGAAAGCTGTCCTCTGATGCACTAAGATCTGTCATGTGATAAACCACATGACCAAACTGGAGATCCTCATGGCAGAAGGTGATCACCTCTTGGTCGTTTATAGCAATGCGTCCATGAAAGGGGTGTGTGGTAACCGTGTAGGAGATGTTGGCCTGTCTTTGACCATTGGTTTGAGCTGCCAGCTGGTTGGTTGTCAGAACAACGGCGGTGCGACCTTGAACCAATGACAGCCCAGTGTTGTTCACCATGGATACAGTGGGTTTAATCACCTCTAAGCTAAACAATTTGTAGACCGGACGGTGATGACCATCAGTAACATTGAAATAGAAAACTCCTGTTGAGGATTCACCCTAAAGGGGAAACATGAAGAAAGATTGTTTCTTCAGCATACTGACCAGCCTAAAGCTTGATTTACTGTATATCACACATATAACAGTGTACAAATGAACTGAGACATTCAAATTGGTTTCACCTGCTGAATAAAATGTAGTCGGCCATGGTTGACATCATACTGAGTAAAAGAGGTGACTGATTCTGGTCTTTCTCCCAAAGTCAGGTAACCATTGTTGGGCTTGCTGATTACAAAGTAGTGCAGCTCCTCTGGTGGTGTATCATGGTCTTCAACCTGAATATTTATGGTGTGAAGATTGCTTTACAAGACTTCTAAAGCAATGTTCACTAAAGCAATTACAACAAAACATTAAGGCAAAACATCAAGAAATTCTCACCTGAAGATGATCTGGTCCAAGAACAACTCTTTCTCCAACCACAACTTTCATACTGGGTGCTCTGCTTCTGATCAACGGTGGATGGTCATTGACCGGCGTCACTGTGATGTTAAATGTCTCTGTCACAGTCACTCGGTCTTTCACAGGATGACGATGAGAAACATTGCCAAGTGATGGAAAGGAGGATGCTGATGCCAAATGAAGAGGGGAAAATAACAAAGACGACGAGGAATCCAAGGAAAAAACAGACATGGGTGATGATTGGGAAGAGGAAGAGTGGTGGAAAGGAGCCGCCCAGGCCCTAAAAGTGAAGCTGTCGCTTGTCGTCTCCGAGTCATCATGGACATATGTGATGCCAAACTTGTTCAGGGTAGCTTGGGAGAAATCTGGTTGGTTTCTGTAAAAGGATGATATGCCATAACACATTCATAATATTAGGTAAACATTTCCAGACTGGGAGTACATTGATACTTTGTTGTTACCCTGCAGTTTTATCTTTTTTTTAATAACCGCCATGCACCTGGTGAGATGGTGTCCCTGTATAGACAGCACTCCATGTCGGGGCAGAGAAATCACTCGATACATGACATGGTGTTTTTTTCTCTGGGACTCTGGAACATTACCCAGCAGATAAGAAGCATCCAACTTGTAACGATCAATTGTCACACTGCCTCCTTCTTTCACCACAGCACCTGACAGAACAATACAGACAGCAAATGTTGCCCTGATGAACTTTCATCATCTATTCCAGGAACAAGATGTTTGTACTCCTGAAAGAGCGCTGGTACCTGCATTGTTCAGAAGTCTGGTCTTGTGTTGAGGGTTGCCCTGATGCTCATTAGCTTGGTAGGAAATTAAGATGGAAAAAGTGTGTGGAGGAAGAAAAGCAGGCGGAGAAGTTACAGTGAAAGAAAAAGAGTCTGATGCTGACCACCCGACTGTCTCTGGCTTGTTCTGATCATACAGTATAACACCATCATTCACCTGAGGGACAGTAAAAACATAAAATTAAAGAAGGACAAGGAAAATACAGTGTTCTAAAATATTACTCTGGTTAGTCAATTAACTCCCTCATATGGTAAATCTTGGTCTTATTTATCTCTCATTGGAAATTTACAACAACAACAAAAATCAGTGTCAATATTCTTATTTAACTTTGCTGTCTGGCCTCTCAATATTCCATAGAAAAGCACATGCAAAGGCACACAATCCTACCATGCTCTGAGTAAATGTAGAAATATTTCTGAAAGAGTTGTCATGCATTCGTTGGACAAGGCGGCCGAGTTTAGGAGGAGAAGTCACAGCATATGTTACAGGCTGGTTTCTTTTGATGTCACTGTTGTTGTTTGTTACAACCTGAAGCTCCTGGTCTGAAATCAGTGTGACAGAGCCTTCAAGAGGAACAGAAGACACAATCATATAGAAAAATCAGGTAGTAAATGGTCATAACTGCATGTACAAGTTTCAAACAGCTGTAAAGGTCAAGATGGGCTTAAACGAAGCCCATACTTCAGCATACCAAGACATGTTGAAACAATACTATCCTTCCAAATTTGTAGAAGCACTTCACAGAAAGCTCATGTTTGTACCAGCATGAATGTGCCCCAGAGCATAAAGAAAGGCTATGACCTCAATACCATTGAGCACCTTACCGATGAACTGGAACAGTGATGCAGACCAGACCTGCTCATCCAACATCAGTACCATGTCTTATAAAAGCTCTACAGAACGAATGGCCATAAATTCCTAGAGAAACACTCCAAAATCTTACCAAAAGCTTCCTAAAAAGAGTGGAACCTTTGGTTCAAAAGGGCAACTAACTCCATACAGTCCCTTTTGATCTAATGTTCTGGTGTTTCTGTCAATATAGTGAATTACCTACTTTAAAAATGTCACATTGAAAGGAAGGACAATATGACATAAAAGAGTGTGTGTTTAAAGAATAAAACCACTTTAACGTCAAACGGAAAGAGGGACTATATCTGGCTTAAGCTACCAAGACCACCTAGTGGCCATGTTGTTGTGTAATATATCCTTATGCTAAAAGCTTTTCTTGTCAATGTGTAATTTCATTTATACTTACCGGTGGGTGATAATACTTTATGTATTTTCTGGGCAATTTAAATTTCTAATAATGTCAAACCATCTTGAATCCACTTTACTGTTTAATGAAATGTGTAATTTATAGATGCTGAGTAAGGTATACCTGGGTAGACCTCCATGGGATGGTTTCTCTGCAAGGAGAGAACCAAAGCATGAGCAGTTGTGCTGAAGATCTGACGAGGAGCAACATTCACTCCATCATTCACCTGAAAGTGAAAACCACCTGATAATGGACCTGTGCAGAAGAGAGGAAGGATTTAAAGAAAAGCTCATGTCAGTACAAGGTTCCCATTGACATTGACACCACCATATGTATACCATTGTGTACAAACACCATCTGTTTGCTTTGAATGTGAGTTTGGGTGAAGTTCAGAATGTGTCGGGAGGGAGCACTCTTCAGAGCCAAGTGTCCATTGCTGGGGGGTGTGATAATGAATTCCAGCCCCTCAGGTGGTGTGTCAGAGTCTTCTGCACTCAGTTCATTTGTGGTTATCTCTGTTACTGAACCCACCCACACCTGAAGAACCAAAAATACAGGAAGAAATCCACAGTGATTTTCTTAAAAAGTACATTGAAAAAAAAAAAAAACATTCTAAACAAAGAATGCAAGGATGCATGCTATTAGGTGGTAAAATAGCAAACTGGTAAACAAACTGTGAGGATAATTCCCACCTTCAGGCCTTGGTTGGTTGTGACGACAGGAGTCTCATCATTGACTGGTGAGACATTGATGTGAATGATGCATGGCAGGCTGTGCTTTTTTAATTCTGTCTGGTTGGCCATGATGGTAAAGTTGTCCGTCAGTGTCTCACTGCCATCATGAACATAGGAGATGTACTCATGTTCTACCTGGAACCAGACGTTGGACAAAAAAAATGTATTACAAAGTCAAACATAGTTTTGCTCAACTATTGACAATTACAGACAAGTATTTTATGACACGTAGGAGTTGTGGTTTGGTCTCTGGTGCTGTGTCTATGTCTGCGTTCCCCTGATCCTCTGTTTCTATCTTTATAGGGTTTGTGTTTCTTTAGTATCTAGCCCCATCTTGTGTTGTGTTTATGTCTTGCATCCCTTGTCTCTTTCTTTGGCATCTGTGATTACTCACAGGTGCCTTCACTTTGTCTAAATGTTGTTTTCTGTATAAGTCTGTGTGTCTGTGTTAGTCCTTGTCCTGGCATTGTCTTCTGTTCACTGGTGTGTTTGTGTTTCAGTTTAGTTTATTCACAAACACAAAATTAATCATAACGCATAACTGCAAGATAACAGTGCTTAAATCAGGTCTCAAAAAAGCTATTTAAAGCTTATAGATGGAGCCTGTGTACATATTACATACAAATTATAACATATTAAAATAACATCACAATAAAACATCAGTCCTCATACAAATTCCACATACAATACAGATTATGTTACCTCTGACCAATCAGTTACAGGTCCTACAAGTGATCTCAAGTATACAAATGGAACAATTTGGTCTTTAGCTGTTTTTTGAAGGTGGAAATGAATTTCAACTCTTTCAAACTCTCGTCAAGCTTGTTTCAAATCTGTGGGCCCCTCCCAGAATAGGTTTGACTAGTTATTCTAAGTCTTCTATATTTGGTGTAGATAAGATGTTTTTTTCCTGGTTTTATAAGTATGTTGTGGACCACTGATTTGGAACGAGCTCTGTTAATCTTTTATTAGTTTTATTTACAATTTGAAACATCAAACAGGCGTTTTGATACACATGTAATTCTGTCAGCCGAAGAAGACCAAAACGATGAAATAGATGGGATGTGGGGGCATTATACTCAGACCATGACACAACTCTTATCTTCTTTTGAAGACTTTCAAATTTCTTAAGATAACTAGGGTAAGTATTGCACCATATAACATTACAGTATGTAAGGTGTGGCTTAATGAGAGAATGAGAGTTTTTTTTACATTGTTAAGAGTGTGTGAATAGAGGCAAATAATATCATAATTTCAAAAACAAGCCAACATATTTGGACAACTTTGTTAGGAGACACTCGATATGCAATTTAAAATTTAAGGATTCGTCTATGTGGACCCCCAGGAATTTTGTGGAACTTACACTCATTAATTTCTCATTTTCAATTTTGAGAATTACATGATCAATTAAATGTTAAGATTTGTGATGACCTGTCTACATCGTGAGTACCCCCTGATTATTCTATGTTTGTTTTGCTGCCCTGTCAGCTCTTTGTTTTGTTAATAAATTATTTATTTTATATATTTCCATCCTGAGTCCTTGCCTGCCTGCACCATTGGGCTCACCAGCACCAGCCGATTGTGACACATGTATGTTTTTTGTAATTGGATAAAGCCGGGCATACTACACTCATACATATCTGATTCACATGCCAACAGTTTTTAAATGTTCTGTGAAGCCTGTGACAAGAGAAGAAGTGCATCTTGAACTAACATGTTCAGATTTGTGTTTTCTGTGCTCAGTCAAACCTCAGTGTGTGTAAAAGCATTGATAGGCATCCCTGGAATCCGGCTGTGCTCCAAGTGTCCAAATCTTGGTGGAACGATTACTTGGTACAAAAAATTCATCCCTGAGAAGTGATGACTTGCAACCTTGATGATCTCAGAAGTGAGAGGCTGGGACATGCCTTCGTCAAGGATCAAGTTAGACACCTATACAAGCAGAAGAAAGCACTGGCTGACAGTTCAGTTTTGGATCATTGCAGCTTAAATTTTAAATTAGCTTGTTTTCAGCTTTAAAACTTTTGTTGTGTTATCTGTTTAAACTTGTGGTACCTGTAAGGGAAGAAGGGTTGGTATGATATCAATGAGCAGTCTGATCGGGCCAACCTTTGTTACCCCATTGGTTGCCTCCAACAGAACAGAGTCATTACAGTATCCTGCAGCCTGATGATCATAGATGATTAATCCCTGATTGAGATCCTCTTGGGTGAAGGATGTTAAAGGGTGCTCCTTGATATCCCGGACAGAGGACTGGATAAAAATTAAAAATATAGGCTTATTTCTATGTTGATCACTGGGTTGTTTAATCCTACATCACTGTTTGGGGCTAGCTTTGGATATTATTAGTGGGGAAAAAAAAGAATGAAGGCAAGGATTAAACCTAAAAGAGGTTTGATATTTGAAAAAAAACAAAAAAAACAAACAAACATACATTCTAATTTTAAAAGAATACATTTTAGAAAAAACCTGTCACATTTATATGAGAAAATCTTATCAATTTGCAACTAAATCTGGTTAAGGCACACAAGATTAGACCACACATAATGACACTGAAATTTATGGGGATTCGTCATTGTAGAAGCAACAAGAGTATGAAAAGAACAAACAAATATTACAAGGAAAAATCTGTACCTTTTCCTTGTTAATGCAAGGTTTTGCTGTTAAAATATCTGATGGTCAAAAACCTTTAGATACTTTTTTCTTCAAAATAATCAGTTCTCTTTTAGTATAACTCAATGTAATTACTTATATTTCAAGAGGAGTGGAAGTTGAAAAATTAAACTTGTCAGACAGTTGACAAACAGATAAATAAATGAAATATTTCAAATCTGTAAGTACAGCACCACCATGTGTCCAGATACAAAACAACAAAGCAGTAAAACTGTTATGTTCCCCTCATTTACAGAACAGGATACTTCATCTTTCAAACTTGTCAAAAACCAAATCTGTTGCGATTTACCTTATGTAGGTGCTGCTTTTCTCCTTTTACATGATGATCCTTTTTGCCAGCAGATAATTTATAAATGATGCCCACTGCAGGAGAGTTTAAGACCGTAAATATCATCTCTGAGGGCTGACTGTCCGGGTGCACCACCTACAGATAAAAATATACAAGTTTTTAAAAAGTGGAGATTCAAATCATGCATCTTGAAGTTGCAATAATGTTTGACATAAATTATATAATATTTCTACAAATTTGGAGGATTTGGTGCTCACAGAACAAAATATTTGCACAGATTTTAGAAATTATCTCTTACCTCTAGATGTTCCCTACTTATAGAGACGTTTTGTCCCTCTTCCACCACAACTGGATGGTTGTTTTTCACAGTCGGAGGTCTCTGATGACTCTCCAGGTACACTTTTACAGGCACGCCGATATCCAGGTGTACTTCCCTCCTCCCTCTTTCTGTACGCCTTTCTGTGCTCCTTTCTCTTGCTCTTGCGGTCACATTGAAGACATCCAACAGCTCATTGTTTCCACTGTGATGGTACGCTAAGCGCCCTGCCACCAGGTCTCCCTGGGTGAACACTGAAATGGCATCTGTTCCTATTATGGTCTCCCTCAGTCCATCATTGAAGCAGAGCACTCCATGTTTAGGTGGAATAAAGACCTCAAACGTCACCTCCTGGGGGTCTCGGATGTCAAGGTTGCTGGTGACACTGAGATTAGTAGAAGTCAGGGATGTTATGCCACCCTGCTGGACCATTAAACCAGTGCTGTTCTCCACTTGCAGGTACGGATCCTGTGCCATCACCTGCACCAATTAGATACATATCAATCAGAAGCAAATTATTCACGAATATAAATAAAAATGCTAATAAATAGTGTGAACATAGAGGAATAATACATTTAAGCCTTCATAATGATGCATACTGGGTTCTCTATTTCTTGGCTTTTAAAACTTGTAGTTTTCTTTCAGCCTGCTTTTTGGGTTTTCATTTTATTGACATTATTGTTCTCCAATAACCCAATTCACAGCTGTCCATAGAACTACCTCTTTGCCTTTTAGTGTCACTATTACACTTGTCTCCCTCCCTCCCTCATTGAATTCTATTCTCATCAGAGCACTCCTACTTCTCCGAACTCTCTTCCACCTGCTCCCTATTATTACTACAGATCAGAATGTTTTCTGCAAACATCATAGTTCACAATAATTTTTGATGTAAATAAATACAATAAAATACCAATCTTAAGAAATATTTACCTCTAGTAGAGCTGAAACATAATGTTTCCCATCTGTTACGAAAAGGACAAAACGTCCTAAACTCACCCCGCTGTGGATAAACAACAACTTATTCTGGGGGAAGAAACAACAAAACGCAATAATGATTAAATATAATATTATTCATCTTCATAAAGAATTCAATATGTTGTTGAAGATACATGCATAATTTTTATGTACTGTATTTTTTCTGTTTATAAGGCGCACTAGATTATAAAGGGGCAGCACGGTGGCACAACTGGTAGAGCTGCTGCCTCTCAGCGAGCAGGTCCTTGGTTCAAACCCCGGTCCAGGGGCCTTTCTGGGTGGAGTTTGCATGTTCTCTCCGTGCATGCGTGGGTTTTCTCCGGGTGCTCCGGTTTCCTCCCACAGACCAAAAACATGCATGTTAGGCTGATTGGTAACTCTAAATTGTCCCTAGGTATGAGTGAGAGAGTGAATGGTTGTTTGTCTCGTGTGTCTCTATGTGGCCCTGTGATGGACTTGCGACCCATCCAGGGTGTACCCCGCCCCTCGCACAGTGATTGCTGGACATGGGCACCAGCGACCCCCGTGACCCAAAATGGAATAAGCGGGTAAAGATAATGGATGGATGGATGGATGGATAGATTATAAAGTGCATTAAGCGAAACAAAACAGTCAGATAAGTCAGACTTTATTCAACTCATTCACAATAACTACATAAAATTGATTCAAGGTCAGTAAGCACAACCAGAATTAATACAAAAGCTGCACCTGATTATAAGGCTCACTGTCGATTTTTGAGAAAAATTAAAGAATTTTAAGTGCGCCTTATAGTCTGAAAAATACGGTATAATTTGTGTTATCTGGGGTTGAAGACACATAGGTATTTTGTTTTAAAACTCTGTCAGGATCAACTTTCAAGTACTGCATCCAGTTGAGTTACATTTTCTTGGTTGGAAAAGTTTTTCATAATTAGGAGATAGACTCACTAAGCAACACAAGTGTAAAAAGGTGAGGCGAAGGGGGGAAAATGATTAAAACGTGCCTTTGTTCCCAGTTTCCTACAATATATTCTTAATATTGATAAGCCTTTATGTTCCCAGTTCTAAATCAAATAAAACAAAAAAAGATTTTATCATGTTTTTTTTGAAAGGCGTTAAAACAGCTATAGCTAGGAGCAATCGTTGTTATTCTATTTTACCATTTATCACCCACTGCCATGAAAGACAGGCAATAATGTTGCCTGTCTTTGTGTATGTGTGTGTGTGTGTGTGTGTGTATTTGTCTATTAGTAAATTATATCCTAAATCACAGAGCAAATTTGAATAAAACTTTCAGACAGTAATAAGTATGTACATCTAAAACTAATTAACTGTTGGCATCAACTGGAATCATGATGGCCAATAGCTAATTGGCTGTAGCAAACACAAAAAGGGCTATAGCAATGACAATCTTATTGACATTGCAAAGGAATATGCTCTTTTTTAGGCTTACAACATATGTTATATAAAGTATGGAACTTTTATGTAGCGCATAGAAACTATGAAGACAATTCAAAAAGTTCATGCTCAATAATCCAGGTACAAATCCAACAATGTTCAGTCAGGTGTCATCTGGACTTTTTTTTTTTTTTTTGCTGAGACGTTTAGTTTTTCATCCAAAGGACTTCTTCAGTCTGAGGAGCCACAAAAAAAAAACTGGATTCCCACAAGTACCATAGTGGGAAAAAAGTTTGCTGGTGATAAGATGGTTTCTGGAGCCCTCCCTCTCCCCCATCAACTCCTCTGAGGCAGTCATGCCAAAACGCTGAAAAATTGTGAGGACAATTAAATTACACAATCTAATCTTAATTTCTACAAGATTCTAGTATAACCACCGTCTTCAGTGGCGATGACGATGGATGTTGCTCACCAATATTCACAAATTTACTATATTCATATTTTGGACCATCATATTTCGTTACAGATAAATGAAAACGCTGACCTGCTCGATGTCACGCTGCGTGAACTCGTACAGCCGATGACTGGGATCACTGGCCAGCACCAACTCCCCCATCGGAATGCCCCTCCGTGTGTAGACCAGCCAGCTGTCCTCAAAGTCAGAGTCATCATCACGGTAGCATAGATCATTTAACGTCACCAGCCTTTGTCCATCACGAGCCACATGGAAAATTTTATCCACAACCCTAACAGGTCGCTGATCATTGACGAGCTGTATAGAAATATTAAAGGCTTGTTCCACTGTGGTTATGTCCTCTTTCTTGTTTGTGTGTTTGTGTGGTTTCAAAACAATAACTTGAAACATAAAGCGATCCTGCTTGGTCTCACTGTCATCGTGAACGTACATGATCCGCTCCTCAGTGATATCTTGATTTGTGAACTTCACAACGTTGTCATTGATTGAAGTTGAGTTGGACAGGTTGATCTTTCGTATCTGCCCATATTTCGGACTCACTGTAACGTTGTAATAGATCTCCAGAGTACTCGCTGTGTGAGTGAACAAAACGTCCTTAGTGATGACTTTGCTTGCTCCTTCCAATATGGAAAGACCTTTGTTCACGATGGTGATGGCAGTCGACTCAGCTTTGATGTTGATTCTGAAGTCATACGGTGTGGAGGCGGCGTGCAACGAAAACACCTGAAAGCTGAAGGAGTCTCTTGTGTCATCGTGCAACCTGTTGAAGAGTTCGTACTTCACCAAACCATCCGTGATGTTCTTCTGGCTAAAGGTTGAGTTCCTTTGCAGAAGCTTTCGGTTGAGGAACAGCTGCCCTTTCTTTGGTACCGTCAGCAGCCGGAAGAAGATATTGCCCTCACTGAGTTTAACACCCTTAGAAATCACATGGAGGTCTTCAGAAGTAAGAACAGCAGTCTCAAGGCCGTTGATTTCCATCTTGCTTCGTGTCACCTTCAACTGAACCCACTGTACCTCTATGGGGAATACAACCTCCTCTTTGGGTTGAGAGTTAATGATAACCCTACATTTGAAGTGATCAGTGATGTTCTGCGTCTGGATGCCATGGTAGGTGCTTACATATTGGATCTTTTTCCTCTCTAAAAGTTTTTGTGAGAAGAAGGTAGTTGATTTCCAGTCACCACTTGAGTGTAGCCTCTGAATCTCACCATATTTGGGCAACTCTGTGACATCATACCAGATATCTACAGTGTTATCTGCCACATTAACACTTACTGCAAGGTGACCAGTGGTAATGATGGAAGCTTCGCCTTGGTTTACCTTTAGTCCAGTATTGTTCACCAGTCGGTATTCAAGTTTTACTACAATGATCCTTAAAACTACTGTGTTGCTCACCTGGGAAGATGAAAAGACACAACATATGGGGGTGAAAACTAGCAAAAAAGAGCTGAGAAAAGGTAAGAAATGGAAATGGATGAGCATAGATAAACTAAATGGACTGTACGTGTATAGCGCCTTTCTATCTTGTCAAGACACTCAAAGCGCTTTACAACACAATATGTGTCCTCATTTACCCATTCATACAGCACTCTACTAGATCTATACAAAGCTAAAAAAGTTAAATCTGGTCCTCTGGACATTCAAAAAAACAAAACAAAGCAAATCAACAAAAAATGTAGACACGTTTCGTCTCTCATCCGAGAGACTTCCTCAGTCTGAGGTGCTGTATTCTCCTGGATTATTGAGCATGCATCAGGACATACAAAGCTAATTTAACAAATCATTCTAAAGAGACTAATTAATGCTTTATTACATTCATACACCGATGGGACACACATCGGAGGCAATGAGGGGCTCAGTGTCTTGCCCAGGGACACTTCGGCATGTGACTGCTGGTGGATTTGAACCCCCAAGTCTTGCACTGGAGGACGACTGCTCTAACCACTCAGCCACAGCCGCCCAAATAGATAGATGGAGAGCAAAGAAATAAAATAATAAGGAGAAAATAGCAATTTGAACCTAAAGAGAATCAGTTTGAAAATAATATATATTTTACTTTACTGGCTAAGATTTCTGTGTTTATTGCATTTTTGAAAAGCCAATATTTGACTCACCCTTTGCCCGTCACTGACCCTGAGTGCCAGCCTGGAGGCAGAAACTCCAGTGTGCACAAAGCTAATCTTACCCTCCTGCAGATCGTTTAGAGAGAACAAGTTGATAACCCTGAAAAAAAAAAAGCATGATATTTGACATTTCACTCTTTACCTCCTCTTTCTGACTAACCACATATTTACCCCATGCAACTAAACTATGTTTTCAGCAATTATTTACAATACGTGTAGAATATGAAGCTCTACAAGAAGATTTTCAAGGATCTATCAGTTGCATCAGTCATAGCACCCACCTGCCAGGGTAATCATGGTGCTCAAGGTACCCAGCTTGAGCGTTGAGGTTACCCATGGAGCTGAAAAACAGCTCTTCAGAACTGCTGTCTGGGTCTGACACACTCAGCACATCTGTTGTCAACTGAGATCATTGTGAATACATTAATCAACACAAGAAAATCAAAGTAAACATTAAAAAAAATTTGCATCATTCACACATTCTACAACACATACCTTTCGTTTGGACTTCTCCAGCAGAGTAAAAAGGTTTCCCTGAGGCAAGCTAAGGAGAGGAGCATCATTAACGGGACTTATGCTGATATCAAACCGGTGCAGATGATTGTCCTTCAGAAACATTGGAAGCTCCTTCTTATTGCTGGAGAAAACTGAAAATGTAAAGAAGTCACTCGTGCCCTCTGAGCCACTGTGGACGTACATAACCCGGCCCTGCTTCAAGTCCAGCAGACTGAACGTCCAATCCTTTTCCTCTGCGCCCACTGTAATATTTCTCTCCTGCTTTTCATCAGGCAACCTATCTGGATTTGGACCGAGGTTCAGACGGAGCTGGCCGTGAACCGGATGCTCCTCTATGCGGAACACTAACTGTGATGGAGAGATCCCAAGTTTACGGAAATCCAGACTCACCTGCAAACAGAAATAAATGTCAAACAATGCACAAGACAAATCCAACACACATACAAGCAAAATATAAAAGGTTTTACCTTTAAATGTTTGGGTTCCAGCAGGACCTGACCTCCTTCGGCTACTTCCAGTGTTCGTATCAACAAAACAGTCTGGCTGACTTCCTGTGTGGCTGTTGGATCAAACTCAGGAGGATCTGTTGGGTTTAAGATGATCACTGTCTTTGGAGCTTGCCCTATGCTACAGCCCACAGTAATGTCTTTGGTGACTATGGCATGAGGTAAGCCAGTTTTCTGAGAGTTTACTCTAATGTTTCGAAGGCATCCTTTAAAGGAGCCTTCTACTCTTCCTTTTAATGGCACAAAAGGCAATCCTGTGTTTTCTAGTGCATCAGCATTTAGTCCTCCAAGAAAGAAAGGCCCATGGAGTTGGATGCCCTGAAGCTCCTGACTCAGGCTGGCCTTCACCAACTCCTTACCTACTTTCAGCTGGACACTATGAGGCAGCAAGTGCAGCTGGATGGTGTACCAGGACTGGTTGCTGTGGACACGTGTCAAGGAACGCAACTCAGTTTTACTCTCTCTTCCATTTCCAACTGAAGCCACTAGGTGACCATCTCTTATCTCAATGGTTACAAACCCTCCCTCACTTCCAGAGCTATACAAGACCATGCCATTTTCTTCTTTTGTGGAGGTGTACAGTTCACATTCGAATGTCCCCTCTTGAAGAACTTCCCATCGTGGGAGCAAAATAAAGGCTTTAGAGCTGAAAAAATTCACAGGATCTTCTTCTGTTGCTGAAAACTGTGGACTACAACCCATAGATATCTCGTGGATGCTTTTGTATTCAGATTTCTGCTTGAGATTGGACAGTAGGTTGTGATCATTGAAGACAAATTCATCCATGCAACCTCTAAACCCAGTTGTGATATTTCGAAGGTACGGGTGGTTCAGTCTGGCGGTCCCACCAACGAGGAGCCCATCTTCAACACTGAGCTCCAGATCTGGTCCTGGCATTTGGAGATTTGTGCGAGAGGTTCGGTCCACTATCATGCTGATATTGTGGTGTGTGTGGTTTAGGTCCACTGTGTGCCACACAAGATCATTAAGACGGATGCCCTTTTCTGAGCGCAGGAAACGCTCACCTGAGCCCAGGTTTAGGCGCACCTGATATGTGAGGGTGGAGACGAGAAGGAAAACGGTAAAAGGTGAAGACACATGGGATTTCTTATTCATGGACAGCTTAATATTATTAATATCATTATACCTATACCCTTACATAAACTACAAATTTTAGATAAAATAATACAAAACAGTTAACACAACTGTGGTTGTCTCCTTTAATCTCAGTCATGAAGGAACTTGTTGTAAATTGAAGCCAATGCCAGGGGGTTTACTTTTTTTACTTTAGTCAAGAAATCTGACACCATGATGCATGCCTTCTTTCTGACTTGCCTCTGGATTGTAAAAACCAACATATCTCAGCTAAATGTTTGACTGCAATGTCCCAGGGCATTTTTTTTCCTTTCCTTGCATGTGTGAAGCATTCCTTATGGGAAGCCTCTAACAGCTCTATAGTCCTAATACTAACACTTAAATCGATTTTATTTCACCTAAACAAAAAATTGTTGCACCTCTTGTTTTCCTGTTTCCATCCAAAAGCTGCCAGTTACTTTCTATGTGTCTTAACTGATCGAATCTTACCTGCAGGTGTCCAGAGATCAGCTCCAAAAGCCAAAAGTCTCTGCTTCCTGCAGCTAAAAACAGCAGCCCGGACTGGCTGGAGGTTTGAAATCGTACATGGATTAACGTCTGAATGGACTTCTCCACTGTCTGCAGGTGAATGTAGCTTCTGCCATAGAAGGAAACTGCACGACAGAAAAGGCACATAGAAGATAAATTTAATCCAAAGATATGGTTAGATGCAAACAAAGCAGCTTTCTACAAACTAAATGTTAAAAAAAAAATGCTTGTGGTGGTCTTATACCACCTTGGTGATGATCACTAAGACTGTGGCGATAAACAATAAATCAATTAATCGCATGATAAATGAAAATTATCGACCTCATTTTCATTTATCGGCTTTATCGTTTCTTCGTGTCTCTTTCTACTGAAGACACTGGATGAAAAAAGATCAACTCTGGTGCTCGTCACTGACCCCTTTTTCTCATTTCTCTTTAAAATCCATTTTAACTGTCCACATTTTTGGATCACTAAAACTAAAAGCAACTAAGCTGAGAAGCTAAGCTATGAGCTAAGCTAACAGGCCGACCTCGGGGAAAAACCTCTGACTTGCCAAAACCTGTGCCTTTGTGTAAAAAGTTGGTTTTCTCTGCAAAAAGAAGCTGAGAACTTGTTTACTGATTTTTTTACTAAAAGCTTTGTGTGAAAAATGCGATGCTAAAAAGATCGAACCACACGAGCGTCCGCCACTTTGAGAACCGAAGAGAGACGGCCCATGTCACGTCAAGGGGCATCCCTCCCATTTTTCTTAGACACGCTGCTCGCTCCCTCACTATCCATCCTTCAGTTCAAACAGTCTTATTCTGCCCTCTGGTGGTAGAAAAAAGGTACTACATGCAAAGCAAATTAAACATTTCTTCTTAAATTTGACAATAATTACTAATTATTGTCAAATTTCAAACAATATTATCGTTTATCGCAATAATTTCTCAGACAATTAATCACCCAGCAAAATTTGTTATCATGACAGGCCTAATGATCACTCGTTAATTTGCTAATCCACTAATCTGATGTGAATGTGGAGTCTATTCTGCACTTAGCAGCTTTTATCTGAATTCAATTAATGGCTGTTAATGGATTCTATGCTCTGATGCTCATTAGACTTTACCATTTGACCCAGATGACACAAACTAGCCTTTTATTGGTACAAAATGTAACATCAATTGTCCAAGATTTGGTGCTGCTTTTCAATCTACAGGCTATGAAATTAGAGCAGAATAAACACATTTAAAAAAAGTGTTTAATGTGTGTACATGCTAACACAGACACGCTAATGTTCCCCAGGTTAGGTTGCATCATCTTTTACAAGCTAACACGTCGTTGTTGTCAAAATGAGTCTGGACCTAGTGATTGCACTATTCCATGCATCATACATGTTATCATTCCTAATGATTGGAACCATGTTAGCGCCAAATTTACTGACAACACATCCTATAGCTGACACATGGTGTTCTCAGTTTTGACAGATGTGGACAATCTGCTTTAAATAGTACATGAGTACATGTAGAGCATACTGGCATTTAGTGAAGCCAATGTGCCTTTCCATTAAGTGTGAATGATAAAAAGAGTAAAGTTGTCTTTATTTCCATTGATTTGACCTACAAAACAGTGGTAATGGAGCACTCAGTCAAAACGAGGGTCCATTTGTGGAAACATACAACATACAGCAAATAGAGGTCAGAGAGATCCGTCTGTGTGCGTTTGTGGCATAACTCTGAAAAACAAAAAGTGCAGCAGTAAATGCAGCAAAGTAATTATTTTTATAACTCAAATTAGGAAGTATAAAATCCAAAAAACATATAGCTGTAACTATATTAAATTTTCAGTGTTATCATTAAATTGGAGATGAAAATAAAGCCAAAGATTTTGATTAACTCATTATGAAAAGTTCTCACATGTTCGACAACACAGCACAATAATTACATTTTTCTTTGTTCCCATTTGGCACAAACCAGATTTTATTTAAAGTAAACAATTCTATCTGCCTAAGTTTTCAGTTTCTAAAATATTGATTTGCTCACGATAATTGCTTCTACGTAAAAAAAAAACAATTTCATTTTATTTTGTAATTAGGAACCATTCATGATTTTGTGTTAGACATAAACATGATCTTGTTCACCAACATTTTTTAGGTTGAAAAACATTTAAAAAAAAAAAACATCAAATTTATGTTGAAAGTTTTGAAAATAGAGAAACTTTATATTTAAAATTCTATATAGTTATTTCCCACTTCTGGTTACTGACTGGAAGTGCTAAAATTAATTAATAAAGCTGTTATTATTGGTGATCAGACTGGTTCAAGTGAGAAGGACTCCGTCAGCAGGCTGGCCCAGCATGTTGCTCTTCATAAAGCCCATAAACCCATGGTCATTATGACCCATGTGCATCCTAATCTGCCTGTATGATACCAGCACAGTGGATTATTAGTAATCTTCCTGCAGACACCTTGAATGAAGTGTGTGCCATTTATTAACCTTTATTTAACCAGGCAAATCCCATTGAGATCACATATATCTTTTGCAAGGGAGGCCTGGGTCTGAAAGGCATAAAGAAACATTTGACGCAATATTCAAGGTCTCTTTCTATATTAAAACAAAACATATATGAGCTTTTTGTCTTTGCAGACCAAATGGTTGTTGAGTGGCAAAGAGTGCAGAATGATCTTGCTGATGCTATTTCAATTATGTGTTTCAATAAACAGTGGAGCATCATATCAATCAAACACCTCACTGTGTCAAAACAAGACAAAGTATAAGCCATAATGTTGCCCTGTGTTCACAATATAAGACTGGATTAAACAATAAGATTTTGCTTTGGGATAAAAAGTATGCATTGCAAATTTCCCAAATGCATGCAAACAACAAATGTTTTGGCAACCTGATGTTGCAGCAATGTAGATACAGTGCAGTTTGACAGATGTTTTTAAAATACCATATCATAATGAGTGTTGTTTTTTTTATCTCTCTCTCTCTCTGCAACCTTACCTCCATGAACGTGCCCAGAAATCAGCAGGAGAATGAACAAGTCAGCCAAAAGCCTTCCCATTGTTGATGAGCTTCTTTTTATCTAATCAACTGTAGAGCAACATCTGGCTGCCCGATTCTGCAGTCCATGCACAGCAATCTGCATGTCACTCCCCTCAGCTGCAACTTCCAAACAGTCTGGATTTGTTGCAGAACTCTGAAAGCATCTACCTGAGCAGAGCGGTTAAACTGAAGCTCCACCCTTAGCTCCTCCCATCGAACCCAGGATGATGCAGTACCGAACATGAACACAGGGGGGCGGTGTTGACGCGCATACAGGAGAAAAGGCGTGTGAAGTAGATTCATTTCAGAGGGTCTGAAACTGGCTGGGTGATGTTTGACACAAATGAAGCTTGACAACGTGGTGACCAAGTCTCCCTGTATTTGTGGGACTGCACAGCATTTGTCCCCCGAATTAGGATTTCACATTTTGATTAACGTTGCTTCACAAAGGTCAACACATACACTTTTTAAATTAAAATTAGAGTAACCTTAAAACAAACAAATCAGAAGAAACGCACGATGAATTCAACAATAATGGTTGCATTTAAAGTCAGTGAAAGTGTGCACATTTAGGTCAACCGTTGCTGCCTATGGAAAAACACAAAAGAACTAAAAATAGAGACAAGCTAAAGGTTCATAATAAAGATAAATTCGAGAAAACAGTAATAATATGAGAGAAAGAACACTGAAACCAAAAATAAACCCTGAGATTATAAGCATCAGCCTCACTGTGCTGTCACCGATGAGGTTCAATTGATAAAATAGCAACGATGCTGGGCAAAAGTGTAGCAGTTTAATATGAGACAAAGCAACATTCTTTCATGCACTGGTATGTTTTGAGCTGTTTAATAAGACTGAAAAGTTATATAAAATGGGCCCATTGATCAGCTTAGCCCTGCTGGTGACCTTTTTAACTGTTGTAATGAGCAAAACTCAGCTCAGTTCTTTTATAAAAATTCAATCTGGTAGATTTCCCTGCCAAAAGGCAGACAAACAAATAAGTCATTGAACACCTGATTCTCTTATTGGTGGAGGAAATATCTCCCAACCTGCTGTGAAGGTCCAGGATCTCACTAATTAAAACAGGGGCAGCCTTCAGCTCCACGCTCAAGGATAAGTGAGTAAATTAATTGTGCATTTAGATGAATAGAAATCTGTGACTTGATGATCAAACAGGCCTTTTTTTTTGTTTTGGTTTAAAGGTTTAGTTCCCAGGATGCTGAATATCAGACTGCAGCAAGGTCTCTTAAATGAGTCACACCCAAACTGGGTTGAGCTGCTGACGGGTCCTGTCGGGTCCAGAGGGGAGGTGTGCTGTAATGAGCCTGGATCCCATGCTGAGAGGATTACCGTCCTGTTTCCTGGCCTGAAAACGTCTTAAAAGCTGTAAACCTATCAAAGTGGCATTTTATTTGTAGTTTATTTTAATAAATTCTGCAGTTGTGGGATAAATTATTATGCTCATGAGATGAGCTTGTGTTTCATTCCTGCTTCTGCCAGTACTCACCTTCTCGCTGCTTACAGATGTGCTGACTAGTGGCCATTTTAGCCTCTTTTTGGAGGTGCTCAAGCACCCCTAAAATTTAACTCAGCAGCACCCCTGAAAATAAAGTAAAGAAAATGAAAATAAAACCTGCAGCCAACCTCATGATCAGCTGAATACAACAGTGATCAACAGGAGGTACCACATGTTCATCTGCACGAAGGTAACTGCTACATTTCCTGTTGTACTTTGTTTTGTGTGTTTTATATGTAGATATATGTTGTAACTTCTGGTTGCATAAGTTTAGTCTTTGTTCGTTATGATCATTTAACACTAAAATGATTTTGTACAAAGCGTTTATTAGGTTGTGTAATGTAAAACAGAGCGCTACGTCTGTAGCCTCTTAGCTAGGGCGTCTATGTTGCACGCCGCTAGCTTAGCACTGCTTCTTGTTGTGTTGAGCTCTCTAAAATAATTGTTCAATTAAGTGTTTACTTATGTAGTTAAACAAAGATGTTTAACAACCCATTAAAATACACTAGAATGCAGAAAATGGCATCTACCGTATTTTATGGAGTATAAGTCACCTCAGCAAATAAAACATAATGAAGAGGAAAAAAACATATATAAGTCGCTTCAGCGTATAAGTCGCATTTATTATGCATCACAGCTGACCCGTCGTGTTTATTATGCCTTTAGTTAATGGTCAAAACTGCTTCATTTTGCCTGGGCGGCGCAGCGCCATCCATCCAGCCATCTTGTCTGAAGCTGCTAGCGCTTCAGCGTTCCTCCGCCTGCACCATCTGAGCGAAGCGAGCACGCGTGGGAGGACTCTCTGTTGCAGATCTTAGAAATTTAAAGCATCAGTCAAAAATTGCGTTATGATTATGGAAGAAAAAAACAACCATATATAAGTCGCTTCGGTGCATAAGTCGCAGGACTGACAAATCTATTCACAAAACTGTGAATTATATGCTGGAAAATACGGTACTTTATTCAAAATTTTCTGGGGCAGGCCCCCAAACCCCCCCCCCCCCCCCCAACACACACACACATTATGAATGCTTCAGATGCCAATGGCCACCACGTTATTCAAGCCAAGAGCAATTGTCAGCACTGGGGGCTAAGCCCCCCTTAAGGTCAGATTCTAGAATCGCCCCTGGTGCTGACCACGCTGAGGACCTGATGAGCTGGGACTGAATTTAAGCAGACGACTTGGGATATGAGACTGCGATGAAGTGAAAACTCAAAGCAATCTGTTGGATCCTTAGATAACTCATGCTAGTAACTGACTTTATATGTGTGTGACGGTTCAGTGACCTGAGACGACTCGTGTTGTGATTCGTCGCTATATAAATAAACTGAATTGAACTGAACTGAACTCTCCGCCTGTGCATTATATTGCTTTTGTGATTTTCAGCCTCTAGCCACTGAGAAATTTACTACCTCAGCATTTTTCTAGAGATCACTAAGAACCATTTTCTCGTGTTTTTCGTAGTCACCTGCCTGCACATGTTTTCTTCCTGTGCGCTCCTAGAACACCTTTACTCCTCACCACCTGCAATAAGACACTTACCTCTTGGAGTCGCTCGCTTCCAACTGGAACTGGAATCCTCCAACCTCTCCCAGACCTGTGAAGAAACAACAAATAGTAAGAGCCATTACCTTCTGTCTAACCACCATGTAAAGAATATTTCTTGAGTCAGATGTTAATCTAATCCCTTGCCTTAAAGATCCTCGTGGCCCCATTCCCTGTCGACAGTAAAAACACTTTTACGTCCTGTTTCTGAGTCTTTTCGGTCCCTGGAATAACAAACTTTGGTTTTAAACACGAGCCAAACTTAACATAAATGATAAAGGTCCCGACTAAAAACAATAAATTTAAAAAATTGCTGAAATTTTTAGTTGATTTTACTCTTTTTTTGTCTGATTTCATCAAATAGAATGTAAGATTGTGTTAAAAAGCATACCAAGTTGCAATAAGTAAAATGAAATAACATTTTTAAAAAATGGGGCTACATCTATAACCACTTTTAGGTTTTCGCTTTCATACGAGTGGTTTGCACAACTGGACAACTTTGTTGCTCATTTCCCTGCAGGTACGGCCTGTGACCAAACAGTGAAACAAAAGCTGAAAGAATAAACAGACTATTGAAAGGCTGATGACAGAAAGCAGTTGAGCAACCTCAGACAAAAATAACTTGCTGCACAATCGACGAAAGCTAATGGACTGTGACATATGGTGGTGAAGCGGGTGGCTTGGTGCACAAGCAACCAACAGAAAACAGTTTGTTGACCCTGAAAAGTGTTTTGTGACTCGAGCCACAGCCGTGTGGGATTGGTACAACACACGGAGGACAGGAACCACCTGGCTAAGAACCAGCCAAACAGCATGAAGCAGGAAGAGATGAGATGAGGGACTGTTTAACCCCAGCAGCAGCTAAAACAACAAAAAACACATCGAGCATGTGGACGGACAAGCCTAAAAGCTCTCTGCTCCTTCCATTTTTCTGTGTCCATGTAAAGAAAACAGCGAGTCAAATCCCGCTTCCCTCTTGGAAAAATAACGGATGCCAGCCTCCTTTGGTTTCCTCTCCCCCATGCTTTCCATCCTTCCTTCCTTCCTCACCTTTTGTATCCTAAAAGGGTGGTGCAAGCTTGCACATGCATTGGCTTCAGCTTCCATGAGGAGGCCAGAGTTTGTCCATTGATGTTGAAGCTGCTAAACAAACTGTGAAAAGCACAAAAATCTGGTCACGTGCTCCACCTGTGCAGACGAGATGACTGAGGTATATGTTTTAACACGGAAGTTAAAAGAAATAAGTTAATGGAAGGAGGATTACTATGGTTTTTTTTGTTCGTTTTATGTGTGAAAATAATCTTTTTTTTATTTATGAGCTTAATATGTAAGCATGCTGAGAGAAAAGGGCCGGAGTTAGAAACAAACAGAGTAACTTAGAGAAGATGATGCATAAAATGTTTTATTTATTTATTTATTTGTCTGTTTCTTCTACAAAAATGGTTTCAGGTTATACCAAGAAAAAAAAA